AAGGAATAAATCCACATTTTCCTCATTTTGAGTTTATTTATTTATTATTTTAAAATGGGAATTATTTGGTATGACAGACAACACAAAACAATTTTTTTTCGAGTAAAACTTATTTATTTTCAAATGAATTGGTTGATTGAATGTTTGTCTCTGCCCATTTGCTCTTATACTATAAAAAAAGAAACTTCAACTGTTTAAAGAGAATTTTACCAACACACAAAAAAAAGTAATCGATTTTCAAATTAACTATTTCAAAACGGAACGGCTAAAACGCGGCACGTGGAGAACACACGCACTAAATGCTGTTACGTAACATATTCCCCATTCTAAGAAGTTTTGACATTTCACTTGACCAACAGCTCCATAACAGGTACCTATCACTTTCCTATCACGTATGCAGATGACTTTATTTTGATATTGCACGCTTGTATTTTATTATCCATTGTGTTTTTATTCACACTGCTACGTGCTTCAATGTCGGCGCCTGAACTTTATAAATATTTCACTAACGATAATAACATTGTCATTCGGATAAGGTGTATGAACTGTGAAAGCTATGCTTAGAATTATTATCACATAAACGGGACTCAACATCACGACTCGACCGCCTAGCGATGTGAACTAGAAACGCAATTGTCAGTCACAAAATATATTTTTCTAACATTGAATATTGAGTATAATAAAATTCATCATGATTATGAATTATTTGAAATAAGGCTGACTCAACTCACAACTACAGCGACTATAAATGTGTTAGAAACGTAGTTTTTAACTTAGAACAGACAGGGTCAGCAGACAGGGTCTTTAATGACTTGACCAATCAGACATTCGTACCTGTCTTTGGTAGATGTTGTTTACTCGTATGATCAGTTTCAGGTGTTAACTAAATAATGCACAACTAATTCTGTACAATTCTTGATATTTTGCCGACTGCTATCACGACAGGGCCTTAATTCTGCTATTTTATGTTCACGCCAAGCTAGTGTCATACCACTGACACGCTATTGAGGCAGTGGCTCATCAGTGGTGATATCAAAAAGATTGCCATATTTTATTACAAAAAATGTAATATATTTTCAAATTATAAGGAAATGATTTATTTATTTTTTCCAAATATGGCAATCTTTTTGATATCACCACTGATGAGCCACTGCCATTAAATCGCCACTGTAAAGACAATGAGTTAGTGTAGGTTACCGATATTTATACCGATGCCAATGGCCACTCAATGGCATCTCAATAGCGTGAGCATAAAATAGCAGAATTGAGGCCCGGGTCGCTTTACTTCTACAAAAACGCTCATCGTCAGTCAATTGAAATTAGTCAACCATGCCCGAACTATCCCCGTGAGTATCTTTAAAATATATGTAACATATATCACACACTATAATTTTTAATCTAATATTGATTTGTTATTTGTAACTATAAAGTAAGGACATCGATGGTTGCAGTTGTCATAATCACCATGGTACTACCACGGCCACATGGTAAAAATAAAAAATAAATGAACAGGAGTCACATTTTACTGAGGTAGCGTGCGATGCCGGAATAATGTGTGAGATATTGAATTTTTTGTTTTGCTAAACGAGCGAAGTTGGTTTGCGTGCTAAGAGTCCTGCGGTCGGGACATTTTTATCCTTGCACACTGGTTTATGTGTCAGAACCTAATCAATAATGTAACCTTGGAAACTCTAAGGTCATTGTGATAAACCTATACTAATATTATAAGCTGAAAATTTTGTTTGTTGTGTCGAGCGCGCCAATCTCAGGAACGGATTTGAACTGAAAAAATATTTAAGCGTTGGATAGCCTATTGATCAAGGAAACCTATAAGATATATAACATCACGCCTCGACCTATGAGAGAAAAAGTTGCAAAAACGACAAAAAAATATTCCTTTTGCGAGACGCAGACGAGGTTGCAGATCAGCTAGTAGTGCCTAATATAATTTGGAAAGAACGGCACAAAACATAAAGCCAATTGCGTCAGTATGGGAGTCCCACTTCCTAAGCTTAACCAGGAACACATGAAAGCAAAGTTTTTCTTGTACTTTTTCAGTGTGGGATCAATTAGGAAGCATTATTCAGGATCCGCCCTTAAACAGTAGCGGTAATTAGTACAAACGCCACATGCGTGGAATGTTTGACGAACTCTCCACGTGGTATGCGACCCTGGTGATTATTTTTATTTTATTACCTCTGTTGAGTAATTAAAACCATTTTCATAATTTATTCATTGGTGGTTTAATATTTATGTTTAAATATAGTGTAAATAAACTGTTACAATAATTAAAAGAATACTAAAAGTAATTACATACAGTTGCCGTAAAACGTCAGTAGGCTCTAAGCTCTGTGTCTGGATACTTGGAATTAGGAATTCATTTATGCATAAAATGTATTTTACTTGACTCTTGATTCTACCACTTACTGATTAATTATGTATGTATAACATACACGTATTTTATTAGAAGTTAATAGTTATGTATTAAAAGGTGTTATAAAAAAGCTCAAGTTTCAAGTTTTAGGGTATATTATGCGTAACCAATTGACTAAAGGCAAATTATTACAAGTCTTAGCTTTCTTCCACATTCTAATTCTTTTCGTAACAAAGTTACTTTTTAAGATGCTGCTATTTGAGATGGTTATTTTTATTACTATGAATATAGTGCATAACATATCCAAACATAAAATCATACCCAGAAAACACCATACTGATAACGACTATGATTCCTGATACTATCGAACGATCGATAAATCGGAGACACACAGCAGGGGACGCCTTATCCACCCGTCATCTGGCGCCTAAATTCCTACATGCAACCTACACTGGCTGTAAATATACCGGGAATCGCCACTGACAGACAGCCAAACAATAATACCTACGAAATAATAGAGTGGACGTGACATTCTACAAATTTTAAATGCTTAACTTTATTACAAGCTTATACATTTTGCTTCACTTGTATGTTTGTATGTTAGTTTGTAACCGACTCCTTTGGGCGTGATTTTGACTGACTTTAAACGGTCAGAATTCGTATCGAGGACCGTAGACAATACACAAATTTAAAAGGAAAAAATAATTAATATTAAAAATAATAATAGTTTACTATTTTTTAGAAAACCAAACTTAAAAATAGAAAATAAATTTTAATAAATTTGAAAAAAAAGCGTTCTGTGCCTGTTGTCAATAGTAAAAAGCACCCAACGCTTTCTTTCAAATTTATTAAAAATTTTATAAGAAGCGTGTTTTTTAGTTTTTTTAAACTATTTTTTTTTAATAGACAGGTTTACTGGGTTAGTCGACCTAGATACTTTAAGGGGTTGTAGTTGCCATCTTTTCTGATAGGTTATACTATTAAATACCATATCCCAAACCCAACCATTTTCAAGATATTGGACTTTTAAGTTTTTTTATAAAAATCGCTAAAATGTTGCCTAATACAATGTTTTTATAACTTTTATCCTTTGGCTTATGCTTTTTTTAGTGTTTTTGTGTTGTTAATAAATTGCTTTAAAATTTCAATTACTAAAATTGTAGTTAACTTAACAAACTGGCTCACTGGCTAGGTCGACTTGTCCAGTAACCCTATAGGAACTAATCGATATTATAAGCATTTTACACGCTTTATATTAGCTTCACTTGTATGTTTGTTTGTAACCGACTCCTTTGGGCGAGCTTTTGACTGAGTTTAAACGGTCAGAATTCGTTCAAACTTTGTAGATATATCGAGGACCGATGACAATACACTAATAAAAAAAATATATAAATTTGAAAAAAAAGCGTGGGGTGCTTTTTACTATTGACAACAGGCACGCAACGCTTTTTTTTTCAAATCTATTCAAATTTATTTTCTATTTTTAGTTTGGTTTTCTATAAAAAGCGTGGTTTTAGTTTTTTTAAACTATTCTTTTTTAATTGCATTTCCTAAATTTTAAAACACATACTCGTATATATGTGTCCGTTATAAATTAGTAAGAAAAGAAGTTCAGAGAGGACAATGCCGAAAGAAGCCATGAGTACATAACTTATGTGCACATCAAATAAATTACAAAATGAAAATCATATCGAGTTATTTTTATCTTCCTTATTTTTTAATTTGGGTCTAAGTTTTACATTATATTCATGCGCAATCGTATTGCAATCGATGTTAGGATAAAAAAAGAAACAACTATTTCTATATATATAACACAAAAGTAAGCAAAAAGCTTATCAATTTTTGTAATCAAACGCTATGTAGAATGTTGAAACGACAGGTAGACACTTGGACAGAAGGCCTTACCAGACGAAGGTACTCTTATCAGAATAAAAACAGACTCTAAACAGTTTCTCTGAAGGTTTGATTTAGGTTGCATCACAAACTTTTAAATTTGAAGAGTATCATGACACGTGTCAAGTGTAGTAATATATTTATTTATGGGCTGCCGTTTGGAGCAGCGCCCGTTATTGATGACGTGAGAATTGAACGTAACTTCCAAAGACCTATGAACTCCTGGTACGTCATAGATGATGTATTTTTTTTATGGAATAGGAGGCAATAGACCAGGCGGTCTAGGTCTAGGTCAGTCGTCTGATGGCAAGTGACAGGGGCGGTGGCTGCAATTCTCCATCCATGGTGGTTTTCTCTGAGGTTAAGGTAACATTCCGGAAAAAAAGATATTTACCAGTGGTTTTTTTCACAAAAATACTATTGTGTTTCTGTTATAAACAATATATAAGAATATACGTTTCTCAGTATTTAAATATGCAAAACATAGTATAGTTACAGTTTTAGTATACCTAAGTGTCATTAAAATGTTAGGTACGAACCATTAACATTATTAGTTTTATAAATTATAGTGAAACAGATAACACGTGGCTTTAGTATAAAAAAAAATTAAACGTTTACGTATAAATATTCAACAGTTCGAATAAATCTTAGATAAACTTAAATATAACTAGTTTACGATTCTGTGTAATATGGTTTTAATTTATATTATCAAAAGCACGATCATCGTACAACTTCACAGCACGTATGTGTAACATTGCAAAGACTTTTGACTGGGTTCTGTTATGCCCAGTCGTCTGCGTGACGCCAAATATCTTTGCCAATTATCTTTCAGTAGTCCCGTTGTACCTCTACCTCTTCGTCGGTCGGTGGAGGTCGCAAACCCATTGGGTAGAATGTCCGTCCTGTGATTGGAAACGCCATTACGGTCATCAACTGGTTTCATGCGTTTCTACGTAATATTGATTTAAATTTAATATAAATCCATACTAATATTATAACGCTGAAGAGTTTGTTTGTTTTTGAACGCGCTAATCTCAGGAACTACTGGTCCGATTTGAAAAATTCTTTCAGTGTTAGATAGGCCATTTACCGAGGAAGGCTATAGGCTATATATCATCACACTAAGACCAATAGGAGCGGAGCACCAATGAAGAATGTTTCAAAAACGGAGAAAATTTATTACTATTGAGAGACGCAGACGAAGTTGCGCGGTTCAGCTAGTTTAATATAAAAAAGCCATAGATATTCATACTACGACCACTTACCGTACCTATTGATCATGTATTAAATCCCTGCACGGAAATCTAACTGCTGGTTATTATTATGATATTGAGTATACCATAAAATCTGTCAGTTTAATATTTAAAAGCGTCATTTGACATGTAATTAAACACGTAACTCTAATTAAACGAAATAATTAATTTAACTTCTAGATGTCGTTTAAATTCGGTAGCGTATATTCAATTTGTTTTCTTAGTCTGTTGCCACGTGAGGTTTGTATTATTAGCGATGTTAATGCATATTGATTAAAATCTTTAATAATCACTAATAATAGTTTCTGTTAATTTTATTTAATATTGTAAGTACCATTCAATGTAAAGAATTACTTATCCTATGAACCAGTCCTACGTATAAAAGTTGAACGAAGGGCTTTAATTAAAATCCCCCCCGTGTATTATTTGTGTGTAATCAATTGCTTAAAGAAATTATAATTATTTTATTCCAACATTTCCTATTGCCACCCAGAACCACATTTCCATACAAAAATGCAACGAAAAAGTTACCATTAATTTTTCAAAAGTTTAATTATGAAATATGCATCAATAAATCGTTGTGTCGTTTATACGGAGACAGGCATACCCGGGATTCCTGCGGTATACGATATTTTTTGTCCCTGTCCCACACGGCTATAAACACGACACGCTTAATTAAAACTGTATATTAGCATAAACAAATAAAATGGCCCATTACGAATTCAATTTACAATCTTTGAAATCGGTTAAATTAGTCGCAGTAAATAATAACTTGGATACAGTTTCGATAATAGCGATCTGGCGCGAGGCATGAGCGCACAGCGAGATTCTTTTAAAAACTTTTTGAACCGTATTTTACATGAAAACAGTTAAAAAAAACCATCTATACCAGGCAGAATATTTGTCTGTCTGACGCCACAAATGATACTACATAGGGCGTCACTTACGACTCTTAACCAAGACTTTCATACTATTTTTCGCGCCTCATAATATATTAATACGGGAAATAACACAACCTAAAGAATTATTGTTTAAAAAAGTGCGGTTGGTGCCTTCTACCACACGAACTCTAAGACGGCAGGCGTGCACCCCTTTTTTTTTTACGTGTGGAAGTCCCCTCGGACCGTCACCCCACCGGGGTTTGCGGCGGGGTGGTGTGTCGGACTCGGACCGACTAAAACCACACGGTGTGCCACTCTGCGCCTGTAATAGGAGGGATCCGGGAACAGCTGTTATTAAGACATCCGGACCAGGCGTGCACCCCTGAGCCAGCCACCTACAACCACAGCCAGTGCACCCTGATCGAAACGTAAACAAATTGGTAATAACAAACTTAATAATATTTTGCATCACAAATATGAAATATAAACGATAATGAGATGATAAAACAGTATTACACCTTGGCAAATAAACTAGTGCTTATTTTTCACTTATCATAAAAAAATTAGAAACACATAAACAGTGTTCAAGATCCGTGACGGAGTGGGGATCACTTGTCTCTTGGTCACTACATGGTGGCTTCATAAATCATCATAAAATTATGTATGTAAATTAATGCAGTCAAAGCAAAAAATATCCTAGAAATATACGCATAATATATGTATTTAAAATTTGCATATTCCGCTACTACACGTCACTTGAGTTTTATCATGGGTGCTAGCTATAGAGTCTATGACTTGTTTTATTTTTTTTCGATTGTTTAGGTATGTCAGTCATATTTAGTTACATCTGATCATCACACCCATAACCTCCTCATTTATTCATCCGTCCACTGTTGAACAAAGGCCGAGGCTGAGTTTCACACCGGTAGAACTTAATTAAGATGAAAAATCTTACTAATATTGTAAAGGCGAAAGTTTGTGTGGATGTTTGTTACTATTTCACGTAAAAACGGCTAAACGGATCTGGATAAATTTTGGTACAAAGATAGAAAATATTCTGGAATAGCTCATGGGCTCCTTCTTTTTAAGAAAAAGTTTAGTGTGCCCGTGGGCAGAGCCTTTTTTTGAGAGTGGGTTGTACCTTACAACAACAACTAAGGGTAACACCGCAGGGACGCAGCTAGTTATGGTTATAGTTTGAATCACAACTATTTTGTTCAGTTTTTTTTATGGAATAAGGCGACTACCGCTGCCCATGAACGCCTGCAACTCAGGAGTCACAAGCCCGTTGCCAGCCTTTGAGGAAGGAGTACGCTCTTTTCTTGAAGGTTTGAAGGTCGCATCGGTCCGGAAATACCGCAGCCGATAACTTGTTCCACAGGTTGGTAGTGCGAGGCATAAAGTGTCTTGAAAAGCGCAGTGGTGGAGCGCTAATTATAAAAATGGTGGGATGAAAATTTTGCCGTGTGGAACGATGGCGGAAGGTTGCGGCCGGTATTAGTCTGAACAATTCCTCGAAGCACTCGCCATGATATTTACGAATGAAAAACAGAGGCACTTCATGACGACGACGTTTTTTAACCAATAAAAATTATGTGAATTGATGGCGAATATATGTGGTGGACGACATGCATAGCTTACATAATTGGTAAGATATAGAGGTTCGAATTCAATGATTCATTTTGTTAACTACTTTTATTTGCGCTTTATTATTACTCCTTTTTATTATCCTTTAAAAACCAATACTAATCCTTCGTTTAAACAAGATTTGCCAATAATAGGTAAGTATCGTGCATTGTTCAGTGAAGTTTCATCTAAGACACCTTAAGTCATGTTTTAAAATCGGCGAGCACGTACATGATCAATATCGATGATTAAACTAATAATTAAACCATAGTCAATGTTTGAATATAACATTCTGCGCACACGCACGACCTGTCCCCTACCCCGCCGGCTGGTTATCAGTGGCGCGGCGTGCGACTCCGCGGGGCGCTATTGTCCCGCTGTCTGACGCGAAGTGCGCGCCCCACACGCCGTCAATACCGTAGGGATGGTATTTAATTATCGGCAATATCGATTTGTTTAACCTCTCACACAGCCTGATCCCAAATTAGGCAGAGCCTATACTTTGGTAGCCAGACTGCCGATAAACGTACTTATATATTTCTAAATACATAAATCATCATCATCATCAACAGCCTTTAATAGTCCACTGCTGGACATAGGCCTCTCCTTAGAAAGGAGGTTTTGGCCTACTATGACACGCTGGCCAGACGGGTTGGTATAGGGTTTATGTCAAGTTTTCCTTCTCTTTGCAGTGCTGTTATCCTGCGTAGTTTGCTCGGCCTCTTACGACACCCACGGGATGAATAGGGGTGGCGACACTCCGTATTCTTAATCCGTCACCACACGGACAAAATATATAAATATTATACTACTACTATACTAACTAATATTATACTAAATTAAATCCAGACACCATGACACAATTATTTGTCCTAGGTGGGAATCGAACACACGACCCCAAGCACAGTTCGGATCACTAAATACTAGACCAACAGGCCCGTCAAATTATTATTCAAAATACATAAAATAATAATGATATTTCAAACTTGTTCTTCACAAAAGGGACTAAAAATAAGTATATTTAATTTATTATTAAAGCGGGTCGATGATGCTAAATGAAGATGTAGCAGTCTTGTAGAGCATCATGGTGACTGATAATAACAATAACGCATTCAATGCAAGTTTTCACTCCCTCCCTATTTTTTATGTTTACTTTACATTCGACCTCTGGCAGGTCCAGTCAATGTACAGGCACTTCATTAAAAATCAAAATTGATTGATATACATTTGCTTATACTCCATTCGCATAAAAGAAGAAAAAAATATTCTCTTTAAGTATTAATATATAGAATTCGTAAAGTAATTTATATGTGTTTAATACTTAAATGAATATTTAAATGCTTTTTTATCTTAAACTAACCACTAGCTTAAGTTTTGTAGAAGTCTACAGGTTAAATGTGAATTGTACCTAAACAAGCGCAGTCTCTACAAAATTAAAATCGTAAAAAAAATCATTAGTAAATGCAAATAAATTACATCGATACAAATATGTGGACGCGGTACAACACTATCGTGGCGCCTGTTACGAATGAGCACCGCGGGGCTGTATTGTCCGAGCGTCTAAGTGCCTCATATTCGGTTACCCAACTATATTACACACCTATACGGAATATCGATATCTTACACAAACCTATAAAGAAACATCCTTACTCTACAAAGAACACAAAGAAGCTTCAAATTTAAAACTGTGCATTTTAAATTCAAATTGGTTTGTACTTAAATTTGGTAGATAAGTCATTTGGAATCAAGAGGTAAAATGACATAATTTTAATTTTAGTGCTCCTTGAGTACACAAAAGCCTTAATAAATAACTAAACAAAGGTTTGATGTCCAACTTTATTTGAGGTATCTTTTGTCAAACGATTATCTTTGATTATAGCACAGAAAGAATAAAAGAGACACGGTACGTTTTATACCTAAGCCTACATGACTGACGATTTATTAATTCGATATTAAGAAATAAAAAATAATTCAATATTGATGATTTGATGATCAGATTGATGAATTTTGTGCCGAATAAGATTTATAGTTTTTTTTTGAGAAAATAATTATTATCTAGTGACCAGAGATGAAGATAAAAAGCATTGATTAAAATAAATACACGCCATACTTCGCTCGTTTGAGAAATGAAAGTATGTTTATTTACCTAACTGTCCTTTAAATATATATTTAATGGATAAGGGGCTTATGAACCAACGGTCACCTATAAGACCAAAGTCACAAGTTCGTGGTAGTCTTTGGAGTGCGTCGCCCCAGAATTAAGGCAAGAGTGGGGTCAAGCACCGGTGAAAAGTAACAAAAACATTGTTTAACAGCGGTTTTTTATGGGGCCCTGGTATAATTCCGGCCGAGGCTGTCCAAATATACCCAAGCGTGGTTCTCCCACACAATTTTTTTCCTATAAAACAAAATGAAGAACCCTCATTTATAAGCCCCGCGGTCATTATTAGTGATGAATCAATTGCTTGGAGAAATCCACCATTTCCTGCTGGACATATGCCTACTCCAAGATTCGCCACAACAACCGGTTTTGTACTGTCCGCATCCAACGGCCTTCACCAGGTCGTTCGACCAACTTGGGGGAGGACCAACTATGTCCAGCAGTGGACGTCTTTCAGCTAAGATGATCATGACTTCCTATTGCCACCCAGAACAACATTATAAAAGTTTAATCATGCCGCAGGACAACAGCACTGCAAAGAGAAGGAACTCTGGCCAGCGTACTATAGTAAGCCAAAACCTCCTTTCTAAGGAGAGGCCTATGTCCAGCAGTGGCCTATTAAAGGTTGTCGATGACAGAAAGTAGTAGCAGTGAAGTCAGGGATAAACCCGATGTACATACATGTATGTTACAGTCAAAACTCTCAACAACTAAAAGTATTTTAGCCAGTATTGGGAAATAGTTCTTTTGACTTCTGCGTCAGATACCATGTACTGTTATTGAATTGGTTAGGTTAGAACTGAGACCATTAAGCGCCAGATACTCTCTATTTAGACAGGCTCTAGTGGCAAGTCTACTGGTTAGTGACCCTGACTGCTAAGTCAGAGGTCGTGGGTTCGATTCCCACCCAGGACAAATATTGTGTGATGACTACGGTCATTTGTTCAGTGTCTGGGTGTAATTTATCTAAAATATGTATGTATTTAGTTAGTTTAGGTTCTGCCTAGTTTGGGATCAGACAGACGTGTGAGGTGTATGAGATATTATTATTATTTTTGGTAAAACTTTGGGTTAGATAAGTTTATAACAGTATTATGTCGTTGATCAAAGGTACTTTGACAGATTTTGCCTCTTGAAAATATTTGTGACCGCTTAAGAATTCTGAATGTACATATATATATACACTTAATACGCGACCCGTGTCGTATACTTTATTTATTTTACGCAAACTGTTAACAATTTCAATGATCATAAAGTGTAAACACGAGCCAAAAATCTGCTTAATATTAACATTTGTATTACATTGGACTAACCACAATATTTTCCAAACTCAAAACTACATTGTATAAACTCGTAAGCAATGTAATTCACGACTGTTGGTTTTTGTGCCTGTCTTGCAATACCTTACATATACAAATTCAATGTAAATCGATTTCTTTATAACTGTAATTTATATTTATAAACATATCTCACCTGCTAAAGAAACAAAAGATTTTAAAAATATAGCTTAGATGGGGCAAATGATTAAAGACGTTGAGTGTTATGATTTTAATACTTATTTTTTAATTCCATCCATAATCTTGGCCATCGTTTTGATTAAGAACAAATAAACACATAATTTGCATTGTCCAAAGATAATTCCTGCGTCTGAACGTAATTTATAAGCCTTATCGTAGGTATTACGGTTTGACTGCACGGATGGCGTAGTGGTTTAAGCGGTCGCCACGCCGCTTACTTACCGATCCCCACATGGGACGACACTTTGTGTGATCCACAAATTGTTGTTCTGAGTCTGGATGTTCTTTGTGTCCGTTTCATGTATGTTTGTAAAGTTGGAAGTTATCTTTTTATAAAAAAGAGAGGTATTATTAGGTATAGCTAGGTCCGCCATATACATAATCCTAAATGTAGCCACATTTATTTTTATTTAAAAAACTAGGAATAATAATATCCTGTGTTGCGGGCGACTTTACACACATTCATAAAACGAACACAAACAACGTTGTCCCATGTTGGCATCGAACCCAGAACACTCAGCGCAGTAGGAACCGCAAGATGACCGTTTGATCCACTACGCCATCCGTGCAGTGAATGAAAAACTAGCACAGCATCCCTGTTGTAGAGAAGTAAGTGTTTCCTTACCTCAGGGTCAATCTTCTTATACTCGGGGTCCTCCTCGTCCACTTCGAAGTACAGCTCGGTGGAGGTGAGCGACACGGTGCCCGGCGCGACCAGCCCCGGCGCCACCAGCTTGGCCTTCGTGCTAATGTTCACTGGACCTGCGTACGCGACATTATATAAAATTATATACTTTAGTACAAAATAAAGACGAATTGAAGTACAAAAACATTTTCTTATTTTTTGTGTTAGTGTTGTTTTTTAAATTTTAGTTTCTATGTATGAATTTATAATTTTATTAAAATAGTAAAATTTAATTCGAGTGACGGTTATTAGCGATGTTTCAATGCTATTGACTAGAAATTAATAGATATTTCATTAATATTTGTAACTTAAGCGCCTGATAAAAAGTTACGCAAAGTGTAGCATATAAGATTGCTGTAATGTTTTGTCAGGCGCTTAGGCAAGTACTCGTACATGCGGTCTATGTTTGGTGGTGTTTTGTTAGCCATCGATATTATTTTAATAATTGGAACTTATGCATCGATTAGGCATTAGGGGGTTTTGATGTGGAAAGCAAGGTCGTTTATTTTGTTTAGCAAATATTTAGTGACTTGTAGCTCTAAAGATACATGTGCATTGCCATTCTTTGTGTAAGAATTAAGGGGTAGGTTTCACCTCCGACAACCTCACTGATTGTAAAAGTAATGAAATAATTGTCTAACACTGGTTTCTTGTGAGGCCGTCGTAACATTCTAGTCAGTATCCGAAGCATAGCGCTCACACGGTAAAAGTAGTTGATTTACTTGATATACTTATGAAAATATATATTTTGTTGGGCATTTTTAAACAACAAACAAAATAATGTATTTTTGAGATGGGAATATACCATTGAACTCGCGACACTGTTACCGTTACCGACACCTCTGTATATAACTTTCTACGAGTACATATATTGGCCCCGTTTACACGAGAGATTCATGTCGGAACTTTACGAATCGAAAAAAGTTTTACAATTTTCATTTAGTGAAAAAAAAAATCAAGTTTTCACTTCTGTCGGCATACCCGGTATGCCACTGGTTGTTTTTTACTTCTTATAATTTTATGATAATCGTTTGATCGTTAATATATTTATATGACTGAGAACGGCCAAGAACATTCAAGAAAATCCTCAGATTTACTAAGTTTTTAACAATAAAAATAGTTTTGTGGATAAAATGCGTCATAATTGAGAGCTGAGGTGCAGGTCCTCTATAACGTGTGTTTGACACTTACCGGTGAGGTCTGCGTCGATCTCCCGGTCGTCGACGAGCAGCTCTGCGTCATCCAGCAGCTCGGCCGCGGCAGGCGTGGGCAGCTGCGCCCCCCGCCCCGCGCCGCCCGCCGCGATGCGCGAGTGCAGCTCCTCCGTGGCCTGGGCCGACAGATTCGGTGACGTGAATCTATTTTTACTAGTTTTGTAACTGGTCGTTACTTTGTTCCTTTATTACTGGGGTTGCGTATGTGTACAGAGAGAAATAATAAGTCTATGAACAACTTATTTAAATTTATTAATCACGACTGTATACAATATATATGGGTGTGCTGTAGTACGGTATACAAGACGACCACGGGACAACTGTGGTTCACAGCGCACTACAGTACCGATAACTCAAAACGTTGCGTCAGCATTCCCGCAACACTATTTCCCTCTTTTTTTAAAAAAAATATTTATATTTTTTTTTTTTTTTTACAACACAAAATCTTAATTCTAATCAGTATATTTATCAAACAATATTTCTTGTGAATTTACTTTGTCACCAAAGGTGACATCATCTTTCTGCTCAATCAACAGTTTGCAACTTAATATGAGTACTATGCTATGTATTGTTATGCGATAAGCCTGTGAATACATTCCAACATTGTAATAGCGACAAAAGTTTTAACATTCATTATCACGCTATTTAAAATTTAGATATCAGCAGCGTACTTAAATATTAATTTACCATGACTTTAACACAATTATTTATTCTTATATTACGCATATAATATAATATGTTTGGGTTACATTTTGTTATCCTTTCTTGACATCGTTGTGGCCGGACACCAACAACACAAACCATGCAGCTTGTTCTATGACCGAATAGCAAAATATAACACACACTATTAAATCGTTACAAAATAATTTCAATCACATACACACTTAATAACATGAATGCACGACGATTTTTCGATCAAATAATCAGTAAACCACTTTATGAGGTGCAGACGTTCCATTATTAATTTGCGGCGGTTGCATAGTTTCTACCTTAATATTTGGTAAGGTTATAGAACTAGCAACCATTTCTTTCTTCAACCATTTCCTGACGCCTTTAGCACATTTTCGTTTTAATGCATATCCAATCACTATAATCAGTAGTACTATAATAATTATCATAACGATACCAATCATATTCAACTTGTTATCTACTTGAGCTGTGCTGGATATATTTTCGTTAACAACAACTTTGTCCTTTGTCTGTAAGTTGCCCATTTCCTAATTAATCAACTACGACGTACAGGTATCAAACACTAAATGAATTTATAATGCATTTTCTATTTCATATTAACACGTAATTATATAACCAAATGTCCTAGTTAAATTATTGTCTAATCAGCAAAATTAATTGTTACAAATACTTCATTGGCTTTTTGCTGACTCGTCCTGTTCTCGTAGTATAACCAAAGCTACTGGGTTCGGCTGTTTGAAAAGTTACTTTTTTCTGAACTTTTTGACAGACAGTTTTACCACTATTATCTACTACTTCCAGTTGTACATTATCCTCTGTTAACATAAATGCAGGTTTAAGACGGTCTATAGAAACTCTAAGTTGTCTGTCTGGCAATTGTACACAAAAAACTTTATCAGTTCTATTAATGACGCGATATGGTCCGTCGTAAGGAGGTTGTAACGGTTTCCTTACTGCGTCATTTCGAACAAAAACATAATCGCACGTATACAAATCTTTATGCACAAAAATTTTACGTGATGATCTATTTTCTCTACTAGACGGTTTATATTCGTCAATAACTTCTTTTAACTTGCTAACGTAATCATTATCATCACACGATTTCACATTGCTTCCATCATAAAAATCACCAGGTAATCTAATATTATTACCATACAACATTTGTGCAGCGGTTACGCCTGTATCTAACCTAATTGTCGTGCGTAATCCTAACATTACAGTTGCCAGTTCATCTACCCAAGACTTATTGCTTAAACGAGCTGTAATGGCAGTTTTCAACGATCTATGCCAACGTTCTACTGTTCCATTGCACTGAGGATGATACGGGGTGGTTCTTGACTTTTTAATTCCCATTAATAACATTAGTTGTCTAAATAAGTTACTTTCAAATTGTCGACCTTGATCGCTTGTAAGTTTAACTGGACAACCAAAACGACTAATCCAACCCTCGTATAACGTCTTTGCGACTACTTCTGCAGTCATTTCCTTTATAGGAAAAGCTTCTGGCCAACGTGTAAATCTATCCACTATGGTTAAACAATACCTATATCCTTCAGTTGTGATTGGCAAAGGACCTATTAAATCTATATGTATATGCTCAAAACGTTTAGTAATCTCAAATTGTCCTAAATTAGATACTGTATGCTTCTGTATTTTCGCTCGTTGACAATTTATACATGTTTTGGCCCAATTACCGATGTCTCTATTCATATTTGGCCAAAAATATCTATCTGCTATTATTTTTCTACTAGCTCTAATGCCTGGATGGCTCAAGTTATGTATCGAATCAAAAGCTAAACGCCTAAATTGTTCCGGTAAATAAGGACGTATGTTATTAGTAGATGTTTCGCAAACAACATGCTTATTGGGTACATTTAAAGTTACACGCTTAAATATCAACTTACAGTTGTTATCCGATTCACTAAGAATTTTTGCAAGCTGTTCGTCGACTTCCTGCGCAACTGCCAGTTCTGCGAAGTCGATAATCGTGGGACTTGTTATTGTTTCAATTCTAGATAATGTGTCCGCTACAATATTATTTTGACCACTAATATGCCTTATATCAGAACTAAATTCACTAATAAACATGATTTGCCTGGCCCGCCTTGATGTTTCTCTATTTGTACCTGATTTCGTAAATGCAAAAGATAAAGGCTTATGACCAGTATAAATAATTAAATTTTGACCTTCAATTAAATAACGAAAATGAATTATGGCTAAATAAATTGCTAAAAGTTCTCTATCATACGTGCTATATTTCTTTTGCACTTCTGTTAACTTTTTAGAAAAATAACCTAAAGGTTTCCATTTGTCAGCAATTTTTTGTTGTAATACTGCACCTACGCAATTGTCTGACGCATCTGTCATTAATGAGAACGGTGTGTCTATAGATGGATAACCTAACAATGCAGCATTTTTAAGATCTTCCTTACATTGTTCAAAATTTTGTTCGGCCTCTATTGTCCAATTAATTTTACTTTTATCTTTACGTTTAGAAGAACTTAAATACTTATATAAATGTAATTGGTGGGCTGCCGAATGCGGTATGTGTGCTCTATAAAAATTTAACATACCCATAAATCTTCTTAGTTCCTCAATAGTGTTAGGTTTTGGAAAATCAATAATAGCTTTAACCTTATCCGTTAAAGGTATAATTCCTTCAGTTGTGACTTCGTAACCTAAAAAATCTAATTTTGTCTTTCCGAAACTACATTTAGCGAAATTAATTGTTATCCCATACTCGTTAAATCTTTCAAAAACTTTAAGTAAATGCTGTTTATGCTCGGTTTCATTTTCTGAGGCAATTATTACGTCATCCAAATAATTAAATAAAAAATCTAAACCTTGTAAGACGGTGTGGTGCATAAAGCGCTGAAAAGTTTGCGCTGCATTACGCAATCCGAAAGGCATTCGCATAAATTCAAATAACCCAAAAGGTGTTATGACAGCCGTTTTCTCAATGTCATTTTCGGCTACGGGTATACAATTATATGCTCTATTTATATCTAACTTCGTAAATATTTTCTTATTCGACAAATTATACATAAAATCGTGAAGACGGGGAACTGGATAACGATCCGGTTTAGTAATCGAATTTAAACGTCTATAATCACCGCAAGGTCTAATATTTCCATCCTTCTTTGGCACGATATGTAAAGGACTTGCCCAAGCGCTATTACTCGGCCTACAAATCCCAAGCTCTTGCATAACTTTAAATTCATTTTTAGCTTTAACATACCTGTCTGGTGGTAGCTGCCTACTTTTCACGTGCACTGGTGGTCCTGTGGTCTCTATGTGATGACAAACGCCATGTTTAGGTGTCTCCTTATATGAAACAGGCATAGTTAACTCGGGAAACTTACATAATAAATCATAATAAGGGCAATTATCAACAATTGTCTTTACAGTGGACTCAGTTGAACTCGAAATGGTACCTCTAATGCTTAAATTAGTTAACTGATCGATTAATCTTCGTCCGTTCAAATCAATTAACAGCTTATGCTTAGCTAAGAAGTCAGCACCTAATATTGGTTGTTGTACGTCCGCTAATATAAATAACCAACGGAAAGCTCTTCTAAGGTTAAGATCTAATTCTAAAAAATGCGTACCATATGTATTAATCTCGGTTCCATTCGCGGCATACAATTTATAACGTACATTATTTTTATTACCTTTAATATGTGCTATGCTGCGGGGTAGCACAGACACATTAGCACCGCTATCCACTAAGAAAGTTAAACCTGTTTTCCTGTCCATCACACAAAGACGGTTGTTAGAATCTACGCGGCCACAGCCTCCCGTCGTCGGCTGCACCGACGTTAGTTTTCCGACGGCTTGACATCTTTCTTCCAGTTGCACGGCTGGACGCACTTATTTGCCCGATTCTTGTATCGATAATGATAGTAACACAACCAATTGGGATCTTCAGGTGTCTTCCCACGCGTCCTTGACTCTGATGACGATCGCGATCTTGATCCGTAACGCCTTCTGTTACTTTTCTGCCAGTGCCTTCTTGATCTAGTTTCTAATTTTTCAAGTCTTTCGCTTATTTTATCAAGGTGGGCTATTACCAAATCGTCTTTATTCAAGGTCAGCGATTTTCCTTCCACCGCAGCGATACTGGGTATTGGCGTCGCGGTCTCCATTACCTTATCCGCGATAGTTGCTAATTTTTCTAAATCATCTTCATTTGTCACAGCCAATACTCCTCTGACTGATGGTGGTAGGTGATTTTGCCACATCACCACTAGTGTCTCGTTGGTGACTCTATTGCGAGCTAGGTCCTGCATTTTTCTCAATAACTGCGATGGTTTCTGGTCTCCTAACTCCATTTCGCCTATTAGTTTCTTTACTTGTCGTTCTTCCGACTCCTGGTAAATCAATATTAATTTTTGTTTCAAATTTTCATACTTATTTTTTTCTGGCGGATTTAATAAAATTTCTGTGATCTGCTCTATAACTTCTTGGCCTAATTTCGATATAACGACTTGATATTTCGCTTCATCAGACATCTTCTGCGGTTGTAGTACTGCTTCTACCTGAATAAACCAGGTTTTCGGCGACTTCTTCCAAAACTCAGGTATTCTTGCCGTGACGGAGATAGTGGATAAATGATACTCTTCGGTGGCTATTTTTCTTTCTTCGGTAGGCATGTTTAACGTAATCACGACTCGTATAAGTACCGATATTAAAAAACAACACTACAGCACAAGTGAGTTGCCCGTTCTAAACAGTCTCAATCTGTACACAATATCACAAAAGTTCTTTAAAATTACCAAATCACAGTTCAGTCGGGGTCACCACTTTTGTAACTGGTCGTTACTTTGTTCCTTTATTACTGGGGTTGCGTATGTGTACAGAGAGAAATAATAAGTCTATGAACAACTTATTTAAATTTATTAATCACGACTGTATACAATATATATGGGTGTGCTGTAGTACGGTATACAAGACGACCACGGGACAACTGTGGTTCACAGCGCACTACAGTACCGATAACTCAAAACGTTGCGTCAGCATTCCCGCAACACTAGTGTTATGTTCGCGAAGGATTAATATTAGCCGGGGTTGTTTATATCTGAATTCTTATGACTTAAACTATGTTACTAGTAATTTTCGGCGATTATTATTTATTTTTTAATTTTTCGGATGCATGTTTACTAAAAAAATTGAGCAGTAGCCGGACGTCTGGCAGACTGAAAACGTTGGCCTTATTTTGTAGAAATAACGAGTATGAAATCACTTCGATAATCAGTTTGATAGAGTCGCCACACCATTACAGGTTAAATATATAATTACATTGCGTGGCGATGCGTTGCGAAAACCCGTTTTTTTTACATCAAAATGATTGAGTGGATAGCTTTTTACTTGAAAAGTCAATATTCGGATTATCGAATGTGCGAAATGGCCAAAATTAATGTTACAAGAGTAGTGGCCCACCTGCAGGATGGCGTCGTGTCGGTGGTCGCGCGGCGGCGCGGCGCCGAGCGCGGCGTGCGCGTGGCGCCGGCCCCGCGCGTCCGGCACCAGCCGCCGCCGCCGCCGCGCGTCGTCCTCCCACGAGTCCAGCTTCCAGAACTGGCTCACGCTTCTGAGCGATCAAAACCATACCGTTATAGAGAAAAACAAACGAGCTCGACCTTAATACATAGTTATTAAAGAGCAGAAATAAAAAAAAAAACCAAATTTACAATGTCGTAGCTTAATATTTTTTTTGTATTTCGGTTTTGGTAAGAAAATAAACTATATACTTACTGTAGAGTATATAATGTGTGTATGAAATATTTCATCATCGATATTCACTAACGCTGGTCGCTCCCTCTGTACCGTACAGTGTACACTCACCCGTGGTGCGGCGCGGCGTGGTCGGCGGAGTGGTGCAGCTTGTCGAGCAGGCGCGCGGCGCGGCGCGGTCGCTCCCCTGTACCGTACAGTGTACACTCACCCGTGGTGCGGCGCGGCGCGGTCGCTCCCCTGTACCGTACAGTGTACACTCACCCGTGGTGCGGCGCGGCGCGGTCGCTCCCCTGTACCGTACAGTGTACACTCACCCGTGGTGCGGCGCGGCGCGGTCGCTCCCCTGTACCGTACAGTGTACACTCACCCGTGGTGCGGCGCGGCGCGGTCGCTCCCCTGTACCGTACAGTGTACACTCACCCGTGGTGCGGCGCGGCGCGGTCGCTCCCCTGTACCGTACAGTGTACACTCACCCGTGGTGCGGCGCGGCGCGGTCGCTCCCCTGTACCGTACAGTGTACACTCACCCGTGGTGCGGCGCGGCGCGGTCGCTCCCCTGTACCGTACAGTGTACACTCACCCGTGGTGCGGCGCGGCGTGGTCGGCGGAGTGGTGCAGCTTGTCGAGCAGGCGCGCGGCGCGGCGCGGTCGCTCCCCTGTACCGTACAGTGTACACTCACCCGTGGTGCGGCGCGGCGTGGTCGGCGGAGTGGTGCAGCTTGTCGAGCAGGCGCGCGGCGCGGCGCGGTCGCTCCCCTGTACCGTACAGTGTACACTCACCCGTGGTGCGGCGCGGCGCGGTCGCTCCCCTGTACCGTACAGTGTACACTCACCCGTGGTGCGGCGCGGCGCGGTCGCTCCCCTGTACCGTACAGTGTACACTCACCCGTGGTGCGGCGCGGCGCGGTCGCTCCCCTGTACCGTACAGTGTACACTCACCCGTGGTGCGGCGCGGCGCGGTCGCTCCCCTGTACCGTACAGTGTACACTCACCCGTGGTGCGGCGCGGCGCGGTCGCTCCCCTGTACCGTACAGTGTACACTCACCCGTGGTGCGGCGCGGCGCGGTCGCTCCCCTGTACCGTACAGTGTACACTCACCCGTGGTGCGGCGCGGCGCGGTCGCTCCCCTGTACCGTACAGTGTACACTCACCCGTGGTGCGGCGCGGCGTGGTCGGCGGAGTGGTGCAGCTTGTCGAGCAGGCGCGCGGCGCGGCGCGGTCGCTCCCCTGTACCGTACAGTGTACACTCACCCGTGGTGCGGCGCGGCGTGGTCGGCGGAGTGGTGCAGCTTGTCGAGCAGGCGCGCGGCGCGGCGCGGTCGCTCCCCTGTACCGTACAGTGTACACTCACCCGTGGTGCGGCGCGGCGCGGTCGCTCCCCTGTACCGTACAGTGTACACTCACCCGTGGTGCGGCGCGGCGCGGTCGCTCCCCTGTACCGTACAGTGTACACTCACCCGTGGTGCGGCGCGGCGCGGTCGCTCCCCTGTACCGTACAGTGTACACTCACCCGTGGTGCGGCGCGGCGCGGTCGCTCCCCTGTACCGTACAGTGTACACTCACCCGTGGTGCGGCGCGGCGCGGTCGCTCCCCTGTACCGTACAGTGTACACTCACCCGTGGTGCGGCGCGGCGTGGTCGGCGGAGTGGTGCAGCTTGTCGAGCAGGCGCGCGGCGCGGCGCGGTCGCTCCCCTGTACCGTACAGTGTACACTCACCCGTGGTGCGGCGCGGCGCGGTCGCTCCCCTGTACCGTACAGTGTACACTCACCCGTGGTGCGGCGCGGCGTGGTCGGCGGAGTGGTGCAGCTTGTCGAGCAGGCGCGCGGCGCGGCGCGGTCGCTCCCCTGTACCGTACAGTGTACACTCACCCGTGGTGCGGCGCGGCGCGGTCGCTCCCCTGTACCGTACAGTGTACACTCACCCGTGGTGCGGCGCGGCGCGGTCGCTCCCCTGTACCGTACAGTGTACACTCACCCGTGGTGCGGCGCGGCGTGGTCGGCGGAGTGGTGCAGCTTGTCGAGCAGGCGCGCGGCGCGGCGCGGTCGCTCCCCTGTACCGTACAGTGTACACTCACCCGTGGTGCGGCGCGGCGCGGTCGCTCCCCTGTACCGTACAGTGTACACTCACCCGTGGTGCGGCGCGGCGCGGTCGCTCCCCTGTACCGTACAGTGTACACTCACCCGTGGTGCGGCGCGGCGTGGTCGGCGGAGTGGTGCAGCTTGTCGAGCAGGCGCGCGGCGCGGCGCGGTCGCTCCCCTGTACCGTACAGTGTACACTCACCCGTGGTGCGGCGCGGCGCGGTCGCTCCCCTGTACCGTACAGTGTACACTCACCCGTGGTGCGGCGCGGCGCGGTCGCTCCCCTGTACCGTACAGTGTACACTCACCCGTGGTGCGGCGCGGCGCGGTCGCTCCCCTGTACCGTACAGTGTACACTCACCCGTGGTGCGGCGCGGCGTGGTCGGCGGAGTGGTGCAGCTTGTCGAGCAGGCGCGCGGCGCGGCGCGGTCGCTCCCCTGTACCGTACAGTGTACACTCACCCGTGGTGCGGCGCGGCGCGGTCGCTCCCCTGTACCGTACAGTGTACACTCACCCGTGGTGCGGCGCGGCGCGGTCGCTCCCCTGTACCGTACAGTGTACACTCACCCGTGGTGCGGCGCGGCGCGGTCGCTCCCCTGTACCGTACAGTGTACACTCACCCGTGGTGCGGCGCGGCGTGGTCGGCGGAGTGGTGCAGCTTGTCGAGCAGGCGCGCGGCGCGGCGCGGTCGCTCCCCTGTACCGTACAGTGTACACTCACCCGTGGTGCGGCGCGGCGCGGTCGCTCCCCTGTACCGTACAGTGTACACTCACCCGTGGTGCGGCGCGGCGCGGTCGCTCCCCTGTACCGTACAGTGTACACTCACCCGTGGTGCGGCGCGGCGTGGTCGGCGGAGTGGTGCAGCTTGTCGAGCAGGCGCGCGGCGCGGCGCGGTCGCTCCCCTGTACCGTACAGTGTACACTCACCCGTGGTGCGGTGCGGCGCGGTCGCTCCCCTGTACCGTACAGTGTACACTCACCCGTGGTGCGGCGCGGCGTGGTCGGCGGAGTGGTGCAGCTTGTCGAGCAGGCGCGCGGCGCGGCGCGGTCGCTCCCCTGTACCGTACAGTGTACACTCACCCGTGGTGCGGCGCGGCGTGGTCGGCGGAGTGGTGCAGCTTGTCGAGCAGGCGCGCGGCGCGGCGCGGTCGCTCCCCTGTACCGTACAGTGTACACTCACCCGTGGTGCGGCGCGGCGTGGTCGGCGGAGTGGTGCAGCTTGTCGAGCAGGCGCGCGGCGCGGCGCGGTCGCTCCCCTGTACCGTACAGTGTACACTCACCCGTGGTGCGGCGCGGCGCGGTCGCTCCCTCTGTACCGTACAGTGTACACTCACCCGTGGTGCGGCGCGGCGTGGTCGGCGGAGTGGTGCAGCTTGTCGAGCAGGCGCGCGGCGCGGCGCGGTCGCTCCCCTGTACGGTACAGTGTACACTCACCCGTGGTGCGGCGCGGCGTGGTCGGCGGAGTGGTGCAGCTTGTCGAGCAGGCGCGCGGCGCGGCGCGGTCGCTCCCCTGTACCGTACAGTGTACACTCACCCGTGGTGCGGCGCGGCGTGGTCGGCGGAGTGGTGCAGCTTGTCGAGCAGGCGCGCGGCGCGGCGCGGTCGCTCCCCTGTACCGTACAGTGTACACTCACCCGTGGTGCGGCGCGGCGTGGTCGGCGGAGTGGTGCAGCTTGTCGAGCAGGCGCGCGGCGCGGCGCGGTCGCTCCCCTGTACCGTACAGTGTACACTCACCCGTGGTGCGGCGCGGCGCGGTCGGCGGAGTGGTGCAGCTTGTCGAGCAGGCGCGCGGCGCGGCGCGGTCGCTCCCCTGTACCGTACAGTGTACACTCACCCGTGGTGCGGCGCGGCGCGGTCGCTCCCCTGTACCGTACAGTGTACACTCACCCGTGGTGAGGCGCGGCGCGGTCGCTCCCCTGTACCGTACAGTGTACACTCACCCGTGGTGCGGCGCGGCGCGGTCGCTCCCCTGTACCGTACAGTGTACACTCACCCGTGGTGCGGCGCGGCGTGGTCGGCGGAGTGGTGCAGCTTGTCGAGCAGGCGCGCGGCGCGGCGCGGTCGCTCCCCTGTACCGTACAGTGTACACTCACCCGTGGTGCGGCGCGGCGCGGTCGCTCCCCTGTACCGTACAGTGTACACTCACCCGTGGTGCGGCGCGGCGCGGTCGCTCCCCTGTACCGTACAGTGTACACTCACCCGTGGTGCGGCGCGGCGTGGTCGGCGGAGTGGTGCAGCTTGTCGAGCAGGCGCGCGGCGCGGCGCGGTCGCTCCCCTGTACCGTACAGTGTACACTCACCCGTGGTGCGGCGCGGCGTGGTCGGCGGAGTGGTGCAGCTTGTCGAGCAGGCGCGCGGCGCGGCGCGGTCGCTCCCCTGTACCGTACAGTGTACACTCACCCGTGGTGCGGCGCGGCGCGGTCGCTCCCCTGTACCGTACAGTGTACACTCACCCGTGGTGCGGCGCGGCGTGGTCGGCGGAGTGGTGCAGCTTGTCGAGCAGGCGCGCGGCGCGGCGCGGTCGCTCCCCTGTACCGTACAGTGTACACTCACCCGTGGTGCGGCGCGGCGCGGTCGCTCCCCTGTACCGTACAGTGTACACTCACCCGTGGTGCGGCGCGGCGCGGTCGCTCCCCTGTACCGTACAGTGTACACTCACCCGTGGTGCGGCGCGGCGCGGTCGCTCCCCTGTACCGTACAGTGTACACTCACCCGTGGTGCGGCGCGGCGCGGTCGCTCCCCTGTACCGTACAGTGTACACTCACCCGTGGTGCGGCGCGGCGCGGTCGCTCCCCTGTACCGTACAGTGTACACTCACCCGTGGTGCGGCGCGGCGTGGTCGGCGGCGTGGTGCAGCTAGTCGAGCAGGCGCGCGGCGCGGCGCGGTCGCTCCCCTGTACCGTACAGTGTACACTCACCCGTGGTGCGGCGCGGCGTGGTCGGCGGAGTGGTGCAGCTTGTCGAGCAGGCGCGCGGCGCGGCGCGGTCGCTCCGCTGTACCGTACAGTGTGCACTCACCCGTGGTGCGGCGCGGCGCGGTCGCTCCCCTGTACCGTACAGTGTACACTCACCCGTGGTGCGGCGCGGCGCGGTCGCTCCCCTGTACCGTACAGTGTACACTCACCCGTGGTGCGGCGCGGCGTGGTCGGCGGAGTGGTGCAGCTTGTCGAGCAGGCGCGCGGCGCGGCGCGGTCGCTCCCCTGTACCGTACAGTGTACACTCACCCGTGGTGCGGCGCGGCGCGGTCGCTCCCCTGTACCGTACAGTGTACACTCACCCGTGGTGCGGTGCGGCGTGGTCGGCGGAGTGGTGCAGCTTGTCGAGCAGGCGCGCGGCGCGGCGCGGTCGCTCCCCTGTACCGTACAGTGTACACTCACCCGTGGTGCGGCGCGGCGCGGTCGCTCCCCTGTACCGTACAGTGTACACTCACCCGTGGTGCGGCGCGGCGCGGTCGCTCCCCTGTACCGTACAGTGTACACTCACCCGTGGTGCGGCGCGGCGCGGTCGCTCCCCTGTACCGTACAGTGTACACTCACCCGTGGTGCGGCGCGGCGTGGTCGGCGGAGTGGTGCAGCTTGTCGAGCAGGCGCGCGGCGCGGCGCGGTCGCTCCCCTGTACCGTACAGTGTACACTCACCCGTGGTGCGGCGCGGCGCGGTCGCTCCCCTGTACCGTACAGTGTACACTCACCCGTGGTGCGGCGCGGCGCGGTCGCTCCCCTGTACCGTACAGTGTACACTCACCCGTGGTGCGGCGCGGCGTGGTCGGCGGAGTGGTGCAGCTTGTCGAGCAGGCGCGCGGCGCGGCGCGGTCGCTCCCCTGTACCGTACAGTGTACACTCACCCGTGGTGCGGCGCGGCGCGGTCGGCGGAGTGGTGCAGCTTGTCGAGCAGGCGCGCGGCGCGGCGCGGTCGCTCCCCTGTACCGTACAGTGTACACTCACCCGTGGTGCGGCGCGGCGTGGTCGGCGGAGTGGTGCAGCTTGTCGAGCAGGCGCGCGGCGCGGCGCGGTCGCTCCCCTGTACCTTACAGTGTACACTCACCCGTGGTGCGGCGCGGCGCGGTCGCTCCCCTGTACCGTACAGTGTACACTCACCCGTGGTGCGGCGCGGCGCGGTCGCTCCCCTGTACCGTACAGTGTACACTCACCCGTGGTGCGGCGCGGCGCGGTCGCTCCCCTGTACCGTACAGTGTACACTCACCCGTGGTGCGGCGCGGCGCGGTCGCTCCCCTGTACCGTACAGTGTACACTCACCCGTGGTGCGGCGCGGCGCGGTCGCTCCCCTGTACCGTACAGTGTACACTCACCCGTGGTGCGGCGCGGCGCGGTCGCTCCCCTGTACCGTACAGTGTACACTCACCCGTGGTGCGGCGCGGCGTGGTCGGCGGAGTGGTGCAGCTTGTCGAGCAGGCGCGCGGCGCGGCGCGGTCGCTCCCCTGTACCGTACAGTGTACACTCACCCGTGGTGCGGCGCGGCGCGGTCGCTCCCCTGTACCGTACAGTGTACACTCACCCGTGGTGCGGCGCGGCGCGGTCGCTCCCCTGTACCGTACAGTGTACACTCACCCGTGGTGCGGCGCGGCGCGGTCGCTCCCCTGTACCGTACAGTGTACACTCACCCGTGGTGCGGCGCGGCGTGGTCGGCGGAGTGGTGCAGCTTGTCGAGCAGGCGCGCGGCGCGGCGCGGTCGCTCCCCTGTACCGTACAGTGTACACTCACCCGTGGTGCGGCGCGGCGCGGTCGCTCCCCTGTACCGTACAGTGTACACTCACCCGTGGTGCGGCGCGGCGCGGTCGCTCCCCTGTACCGTACAGTGTACACTCACCCGTGGTGCGGCGCGGCGCGGTCGCTCCCCTGTACCGTACAGTGTACACTCACCCGTGGTGCGGCGCGGCGTGGTCGGCGGAGTGGTGCAGCTTGTCGAGCAGGCGCGCGGCGCGGCGCGGTCGCTCCCCTGTACCGTACAGTGTACACTCACCCGTGGTGCGGCGCGGCGTGGTCGGCGGAGTGGTGCAGCTTGTCGAGCAGGCGCGCGGCGCGGCGCGGTCGCTCCCCTGTACCGTACAGTGTACACTCACCCGTGGTGCGGCGCGGCGCGGTCGCTCCCCTGTACCGTACAGTGTACACTCACCCGTGGTGCGGCGCGGCGTGGTCGGCGGAGTGGTGCAGCTTGTCGAGCAGGCGCGCGGCGCGGCGCGGTCGCTCCCCTGTACCGTACAGTGTACACTCACCCGTGGTGCGGCGCGGCGTGGTCGGCGGCGTGGTGCAGCTTGTCGAGCAGGCGCGCGGCGCGGCGCGGTCGCTCCCCTGTACCGTACAGTGTACACTCACCCGTGGTGCGGCGCGGCGCGGTCGCTCCCCTGTACCGTACAGTGTACACTCACCCGTGGTGCGGCGCGGCGCGGTCGCTCCCCTGTACCGTACAGTGTACACTCACCCGTGGTGCGGCGCGGCGTGGTCGGCGGAGTGGCGCAGCTTGTCGAGCAGGCGCGCGGCGCGGCGCGGTCGCTCCCCTGTACCGTACAGTGTACACTCACCCGTGGTGCGGCGCGGCGCGGTCGCTCCCCTGTACCGTACAGTGTACACTCACCCGTGGTGCGGCGCGGCGTGGTCGGCGGAGTGGTGCAGCTTGTCGAGCAGGCGCGCGGCGCGGCGCGGTCGCTCCCCTGTACCGTACAGTGTACACTCACCCGTGGTGCGGCGCGGCGTGGGCGGCGGAGCGGTGCAGCTTGTCGAGCAGGCGCGCGGCGCGGCGCGGTCGCTCCCCTGTACCGTACAGTGTACACTCACCCGTGGTGCGGCGCGGCGTGGTCGGCGGAGTGGTGCAGCTTGTCGAGCAGGCGCGCGGCGCGGCGCGGTCGCTCCCCTGTACCGTACAGTGTACACTCACCCGTGGTGCGGCGCGGCGCGGTCGCTCCCCTGTACCGTACAGTGTACACTCACCCGTGGTGCGGCGCGGCGTGGTCGGCGGAGTGGTGCAGCTTGTCGAGCAGGCGCGCGGCGCGGCGCGGTCGCTCCCCTGTACCGTACAGTGTACACTCACCCGTGGTGCGGCGCGGCGCGGTCGCTCCCCTGTACCGTACAGTGTACACTCACCCGTGGTGCGGCGCGGCGTGGTCGGCGGAGTGGTGCAGCTTGTCGAGCAGGCGCGCGGCGCGGCGCGGTCGCTCCCCTGTACCGTACAGTGTACACTCACCCGTGGTGCGGCGCGGCGTGGTCGGCGGAGTGGTGCAGCTTGTCGAGCAGGCGCGCGGCGCGGCGCGGTCGCTCCCCTGTACCGTACAGTGTACACTCACCCGTGGTGCGGCGCGGCGTGGTCGGCGGAGTGGTGCAGCTTGTCGAGCAGGCGCGCGGCGCGGCGCGGTCGCTCCCCTGTACCGTACAGTGTACACTCACCCGTGGTGCGGCGCGGCGTGGTCGGCGGAGTGGTGCAGCTTGTCGAGCAGGCGCGCGGCGCGGCGCGGTCGCTCCCCTGTACCGTACAGTGTACACTCACCCGTGGTGCGGCGCGGCGTGGTCGGCGGAGTGGTGCAGCTTGTCGAGCAGGCGCGCGGCGCGGCGCGGTCGCTCCCCTGTACCGTACAGTGTACACTCACCCGTGGTGCGGCGCGGCGTGGTCGGCGGCGCGGTGCAGCTTGTCGAGCAGGCGCGCGGCGCGGCGCGGTCGCTCCCCTGTACCGTACAGTGTACACTCACCCGTGGTGCGGCGCGGCGCGGTCGGCGGAGTGGTGCAGCTTGTCGAGCAGGCGCGCGGCGCGGCGCGGTCGCTCCCCTGTACCGTACAGTGTACACTCACCCGTGGTGCGGCGCGGCGTGGTCGGCGGAGTGGTGCAGCTTGTCGAGCAGGCGCGCGGCGGCGGCGTGGTCGCGGCGGCGCGCGGCGGCGATGAGGCGCTCGCAGGTGCGCTCCTCCTCCCCGCGCTCCGCGCCGCTCGACGCGCACAGGCACTGCGGACACACCCCATGTTATACCTCCTCATATCGCCTCGCCGAGTACTATATGTTCAAGGGTTTTCTATGACTGGATTCTAGTGACGGGCACCCCGTTATTGCGGCGTTAAGACCCGTTATATAGGATTGACTCGAGAGGCACCACGGAACCCTCTCATACCGGATGACGCAAGTGATCACCGGAAAGGCATGCTTTGGGGATCACCTATGTCTGATCAGAATGCCAAGGAAGAATGGATGGAGCAGAGGCGTAACCTCGTAGCGGGCCATCAGAGTAAGAATTCTCTCGCAACCATGGCACTGAGCGAGTCTGCGTGGAACTCCGCCGTCTCCTCCTGTGAGTAAGTTATGCTTACGAAAGAGACGGCGGAGCGGGACCGAAACAAGTTTAGAATTCCCTCAGTCCGACAGGCCCGGGAACGGTGACTATAATTTGAAAGTATGAATTAATCATAGGAAACTAATTTTAGTTAATATCAACGTTTATTTTGAACTATCGTTTAAGTCACTAAGACCCGAGAAAAGCATGAAAAATATTTTAAGCTTATTTTGATTATTTAAATTTCTATTACCAGTTAAGTGTTACCATTTAAAAGAACTGTACTTTTAAGTAGTGGAAATACTGTCCAATAAAGTGTCGGAGTATGGTAATCATTTATATCTATATATATATATATATATATATAAGAGATTTCCACGTATACAGTCACTCATCACGATATCTCTGGAACCATTAGAGCTAAAGACTTGAAATTTGGTAGGAATATTCTTTTCACCGAGTAGAGGTCAGCTAAGAACGGCTTTTAAGAAATTAAAAAAAATATGTAAATAGCAAAAAAACGTTTGCAGGGTCAGCTAGTTTTTTATAACTGTAAGTATTGAATCAATAAATAATTGTAATTTGTAGTACAGTTTTAAATTTATCATATACGTATTTGAAAATCCTGCAATGGAATGCAAGGAAATAAAAAAGTAGCCACTGCAAGCAAAAAAAAAGCAAAAAGTTGTTTGACAATGACAACTCTTGACAGACGTTTGCGCTCTGTATGTGACAGCTAGTGTATAATAATAAGGCTTAATTATCCTTTTCTATATCATTTATATTACACACATACAGTTATAATTATTATTAATAATTACGTAAAACAAAACCCAAAATAATTTAAAGAGTCGATAGCCATAGATAAATTGACATTGATAAAAGAATCCACACAAAAAATAATGCAGTGCGTAACCTAAAAATTTACTGCTAATATGTTTTTCTTCCTATTAAAAATATTTTACACAGATTTAAATTTTTAGACATACAAGGTGTAAGGGACCGAATACTGAAATAGTGTTTTTAGACCATGATTCTGAGTCGAAAATTATTAGAATTTTCTGCTGGAAAAATCATCATTTTTCTCTTAATTTTCCATTGTTCTGTTAAAAAATATGAAAAATGATATCACAATGAGTAGACAGAACATTTTACACAAAAAAATAATTAGTAAATACCAAAAAACTGCAATGTAATTAATCAAATCTCCCCTCCGGTCGCCATTTTGTGTTAGTGTGCGTAGACTGTTTTCACGGAATACACATGTAATTATTACTTTTGTGCGATACCTACGGGAAATGACCTTAACCTTTGATAGCTGATTGCATAAAAATTCAATTTTCCGGCAATAAATTCCAATGATTTTCGACTCAGAATGACGGTCTGAATACACTTTTCAGTATTCGTTACGACGTCTCTTAAACCGTGTATTTTTCACTACAAGACGCTGCAATTTGATATCAAATATTTTTTTGTTGGAGACCTGCCATTGTTCTTTAAACTTTAGTGGGTTAATTTGGACGTATTACTGATATCTTCATTTCATACCTCAATTGTATACAGAGAAATGGATTTAAATTTAAAGCAAAAAAGATACGATCATCTATATCATATAATATAACGAGACCCTGTTAGAAATAAAAATGTATTATAAAAATAGCACAAAGAAATATGTACTAAAAGAACATAAAATTATATTTATCCCAAAATCTCATAAGTGACAAGAACAGCACCAAAACAAAATTTATATTTTTTTATCTTCTAAAATTAATAACCCAATGATGATCCCAAACTAGGCAGAGCCTGTACTATGGTAACCAAACTGCTGATTAACATACTTATATATTTTTAAATAAATACATATTCTAGATAAATCACACCCAGACACAGAAAAAATGACCGTGTTCATCACACAATATTTGTTCCACAATAGTTGGGAATCGAACCCACGACCTCCGGTTTAGCAGTCAGGGTCACTAATCACTAGACCAACAGGCCCGTCATACTGTTATAAATTATAAAAAATATATATTTAATACCATAGTGATAAATTATTTAAAAAAAGAAACGAAACTGGTATTAAATACAAATCAAACAAAGACCTTATATGGTACGTACCTCAAAATCTGCATGCTTCAGTACATCATCAGCTCTCATTCTATTTAATATAAACTCAGCTTCGTTCGCCACCCTCACTATGTGGTCCCTCATGGCGTGCGAGAGCAGGCGTCCTTCGTTGATCAACTCTATGAAGGCAAGGCCCGCGTGCTTCTGAAGGGAGTTCTGCCACTCTTGGGAACAGAGCAACATGACGAGCTCCACTACGGATGTACTCGATTTGAAGGTTTGGAGACCTGGAATTCAGTCAAAGGCAATTATAAGAAGCTAGAATAATGATTTATTGTAGTCAGATTTTCAATTTAAACCTAACAAAGAATATTTTCTCTTTTTCTACAGTTTCTATTGCAACAGAAAGAAGAGAGAACACCGCAAATACAAATATCATCTAAATATGTATTTTAAGATAAAATTCGTATTTCTATTCTACCCATAAAGGTAGCCATTATAAAGCCTATAAAATAGCATATATTTAAATAAACCAAAGTTGAAGTATGTATCCAATTCCATTGTTATTGATAGCACTTTGCAAAATACTTTTTCCAATTAGGTACAAGCCAAGAAAATTATTTAATCATTAGTAAATAGTATAGAGGAACACAATTAGAATTTTAGTTTAAGAATGTTAAATAAAGAAGAAAGCCAGCAGCATCTACCATGCCTAGTACCATATACCTTTACCCTCCATTAACAATTCCTGTCCGTGGCTACCGACGAGGGTCTTCGAGAGGAAGGGGGCGAAGTCCAGCATTATTTCGCGCAGCAGAGGACACACCGGCCCCAGGGCTGTCTCCAGTTTATGAGTTAGAGACGCTTCTCGAGACACGCCGTCAGCTGACATTGACGTGTTCATTGCGTTTAGACCGGCTAGAGTTTCATTGTCCTGTGTGATTTAGAAGTTGATTTACATGTTTTATTACTCTTATACATATCTTTTACTCCATTTCAGTAAAAATATGACATATGAATTATTGGTTTACTTAATCAAAATTTAAAAAAAACTAGCAGTAGTCTAGTGATGTATAACATTTTCCCTAAACACCGCGCATGATTCAATAGCGTTCGCCAGAGTTTGCTGCTACTCATTTTCGTCCCGTTTTATGAAATCTCTCCAGCAGATTACAGGGAAGTAAGAAAAAAGACATCAAAACATTATTTTCACTGGAACTAGTATTGCATTAGTAACATCTTTTGCACCTTTGACATGTGCAGGCACACGTCACAGGGCAGAATTTCAAATGGCCGGATTAACTATTTACAAAAAATGTAACTTACAGGATGTAGGTGTCTCTGTGCCGCTTGTAAATTTCTGTTCTGATGTCTCTGTTGAATGTGATGGTGTGCTTCCGAGTTCCTCATATGTATTTGTTTATCAATATCTGGAATTGGATTGAGATACGATGAATATAATCTTTTCTATTTCCTATAATCACTAGGAATACGTATTATCCGGCAAAGTTTGAGTCAAAATCTGTTGAAAATTTGGATTAATAATGACACTGTGGCGTGTCAATAGCTATTTAAATAAGAAATCAATTTAGCTGATAAATAGATGAGAAAACAGCAGAGTCTTATCTCTAATGATAACGTAATTAATTAAGTAAAACCCTGAATTTTAGTATGTACAGAAGTATGCGGAGGGATGAGGAAAATGTGGCGAAGAAAGTTTTAGGTATGAGAGTTGAAGGGTACAAGAGTAGAGGCAGACCGAAGAAGAGGTGGATGGACTGCGTCAGGGACGATATGGCTAGGAAGGGAGTAAATAGTGAGATGACGCATGACAGAGTAGAATGGAAAAATCATACATACTGCGCCGACCCCAAATAAAATTGGGAAAAGGGTAGGCAGATGATGATGACAGAAGTATGTTGTTTTGTCTACATCAGTATCAAGACGCCATCACATATATCCTCATTTAGCAGTAAAGGATTTTTTAATCTCTACTTAAGATTCGAGTAACATCATCATCAGCCTATCGCAGTCCACTGCTGGACATAGGCCTATCCTATCGAAGATTCGAGTAACATACCCTCATGTAAATTTCCTTCGTGGTCCCTCGTTCTGCCCGTGATTGTGGCAGGTCCACGTTCACCATCTTCGTTGAGGTTCACATCGGTCCATGACTCATCATTACTAACCTGAAATTTTTGAACACATGACTTAGTCTTGGACTCTTTATGTCTTTTCTTTAAGGTCCATGGGGGCAAAAGAGCAGATGGGTCGCTTGATCATAAGTAACTGCCACCGCTCATGGACACTTGTCACTCAAGTGTTTTTTTTTTTAAAGACAACTCCCGCACTAGGAATAAATCCTGTGTCGCGGGAGACTTTACAAACATACATTAAACGGACACAAAGTACACCCACCCCACAAAGGACACAAAGTACAGTTATCACGTATTAGTTAAGTACGTTGGCCAGAATCCTCCCAGAATTAGGAGCAGGGGGAGGGCAAATCCTCAAAGCTCCGGTAACCTCACCACCATAGGGTTATTATTTTCATACCGTACGTTCTAAATATTTTTTTCATAACACTCTATTTTAAAGTAAGTACTGCGGTGACTCCCACATCGAATGACACGAAGAAGCATACTACAGCGCCATCTAACGAAGACACACCGAACTACGAAGTACTCACTAATCCTATATCGCGATATTAAGAATTCTCACGCGGATTAGCATATTCGCCACAAGTATAACCATTTTGTACAAGTTTGAATACAAACCGGATGCTTATTGTCATCTAGAGCGATCTCACTCGATGTCTCCGGGTCATTGTTGGTGGTCTCGTTGGAGTTCAGGTGGAAGGAACCGGCGTCCTCTATCGAGTCCACGCTCTGTTAAAACATTCCAATGATAAATACTGAAGGAATAGCAGCTGTGCATTTTAAAATTTGAAATATAAATCATAAAATTTGATAATCAATCTTCAATGTTTTAAAAACTCGTTAAATTTATATATTTAATTTGAAATTTTACTTGAATACCCAATAGAATAATTGTCGAATTAATACTTACCTGTATAATAAGGCCTTCATTAAAATCGTTATAACCGTGAAAACTACCAATGGTTGTGAAGAGATAGATAACAATATACATACATTTACAAAAATAAAACAGCATGCTTTAAAAGGGGTTACAAAGCAAGCATAGCCAATACATGCTGGAAAACTTACAGCTAATTTAAATAGAACACGTAGAAAATAAAACATTTACACGCATACATTCGAATACATTTTCATGTATTTACATCACTTGTAAATTTCCTTTGAAATATTTTTTTTAACAAAACATTTTTGATATAAAATTGTGTAAAGTGCTATTATGGTGCTAATCTCTCATTTATTTTTAAACGTAATTGTTTGTGTAATACAGAATAAATATACTTAGATACTTAAGTGAGCATAGCTTGTAGCCTAAAATTGTTTGTCGATAATAATATTTGTGTCAAGCTAGTGTAAATCATGTGTAAGTGTTCAGGATTGGCTCTGGATCTTTTCTCTACACAAACCGAATTAGAATTTTTTTTCAAACTCTCGTTTCGTTATTAATATTGAGGACCTTTGTACTTGTAGTAAAACTTCAGGAATAACTACGCAATAAAGATACTAGGTTTCCAGAACCAACCAGAAGTCTCAGAACTAAATCCATATTCACACAATATTAGAACAGGTACAAACCAAATTCACCACCGACACCGTAATTTCCGACAATGTTTTGGACCTCGGCGGAGGCTTATAAAAGGACAATAACATTTATTTATTAAAATAAATCGAAAACTATCCACACAATAGTAAGAGATTGGAGAAAAATACATTACTACATATGGTCTCGCAAAAGCAGGTCATCACATCAGAAGAGAACTAGCCTTAACGTTATTAATCCATTGAAGTACAAACTAAAGAGACCCAGCAGTCCACAGTTAAAGGAGACGCAGTTACTAATAGAAAGAGACAGAGTATTGCCGGCATCCCCCATCGCGTCTACTAACCTTTGGTTTGGGCTGAATTTTGACTCGGAGACTCGACTTGAATAAGGGTTCTTCTTTCTCTGAGGCTGGTGAAGGTTCTGGCTTATCACTAGGCTTTGGTTTCTCTCCAGAATTTGGCTTCAATTCGTCAGTGGTCGTCTCTATTTTGGCAACACCCTCTTCGTTGCCATCCGTCTCCTTTATTTATTTTATTGCAAAAGCAAATAAAAACAAATATAATGAAGCGTTCACATATCACACAAAATCTTCCACACTTAGTTTCAACATAATATTATTTGTAGCGACATCGATAACGAAAACCAATTGGCATACAGCAAATAATTTTGCCCAAACACAATACGAAACTAATGGGTTCTGCTATTTGGGGAAAATTGCTAAAAATCCATGCGCCTGATGCTAATCATATGTAATACTAGGAACTAACCTCATGGTCATGTATTCTATACTACTTACGTATACATCAAAATTATGATCCATATTAAGATACCTAAATTAAAAGAGATTTATAAAATAGGAAATAACATGCTATTGACGATTTAACAAATTGTTTTTAATATTAAAAGAAATATCAGGAGAATCGCTAAACACGAAAGCATTAAATGTAAACATACAGCTTTCAAAGAATACTTTCATGTTTAGTTTATAATAATTGACCAAAACTCCTAATTGTCACTTTAGTAACAGGATACTTCAAAACTCTAAATTAGAAGAGGGTCTATAGAATATCATGCAAATATGGTCGTACATAAAAATAATTAAATCGATAATCGCAAAATCCACACATAGGTGCAACAGCCCTAGACCTTACCTTCATTGACGGCGAATCCATATCATTAATGGTAGAATTGTTCTCATCAACGACAATCATGGCGTATTCCACATCATCTCCATTGTGTTCTAAAGAAAAATATAGAAAGTACTAAATTAGATCAGGCAATATGAATTTTGCAGTATTTAAGACAACATCGACAAAGCTTGCTTTAATAAAGCGGGAAGTTCGAATGTTCCTACTATGTCAGTAACAAAGTATTCCTGGGATTATTTATTTCTATTATAGTGTAAAAGCATTACTGAAATTTAGGTTTACTTTTACTCAACGCATCTTTCTATTTTATTCCACAGCTTAGAAAAATGGCGAAACTAAGATTATAAAATCTAGACATGCGAATTAAAATCTTCTTACACAATACACAGAACCCTTAATCTTGCCGAACCTCCAGCTAATTTAGATCTTATACATGCTTATTTTATAGATTTATCTACTTCAAATGATGATGCAACAAAAATTAAAGTGAACTTAAATTAAAGCGGTGCCTTAGCGGTGCATCAATCGCAATGCTTTGTCTTCGACGAACAGTAACAAAGATGAAGATATTACAGAATATTTAAAAGCGTAAGAATTGTTGAAGACATAATATATTTATAGAAATATATAGGTATTTTATTAGAAAGACAAAACAGTGCGCGCGAACTTCGAACACATAAAGTATTGTGGCGTTCACATTATTGTACAATCGTTAAATTGATTTCGGAGGAAATACACGTAATAGCTACCAAAATCACTATAGAAGCGTAAAGCGATATTGAAGCACAGAGATAAAATAGTGTTGGTGCTCTATCGTGTATTCCAAATATTGTACCACACTTTTTAATAAGTAGTATTATAGATATACCTATTTAAAACGATATAGAAAATATCCACAAACAGCTTGGATTTAATTCAAGCTTTAAGCAGTATAATAACCAAATGCAGTAGACATGTGTTGTCTTTGGTTTTTCTAATTGATTCATAGACAATGGTATTATGATTAATGTAGTATGTTGAATAATGCGAACGCCAGGTGTCGTCGGCCGCGTTACCTGCGTGAGCGCGGTGGTAGTTAGCGATGCGATTATGTGCGAGCGTATTATTGTTAACGTGTTGGCTGCAATCGAGTTTGCAGTGCGAGTGAGGGTGTCGGTGAGCAGGGTGCCCACCCGGCAGAAATTGCGGGTAGACGTGGTGCGACCACTGGGGGAACAGTGGCCGGGATCCTGCTGGCCCGAACCCACCCACCGAACCGCGCAAGTACCAGGGAGTTAGGAAATAGGAAGAGTTTATAAAGGATAGGATTTTCAAGTTAGAATTTAGAATTGATAAGTTTTGTCCGATCGTTGGATGTCGCGGTATTTACAGATAAAGCAGAGTTGTAAAGAATCGATCGTTGTATACCAATGCAGCGTGTAGTAGAATGTAGACGATTTTACCAGTGTCCCAAATCGTGACGCGTATATCAAGCGGCGTGAAAAAAGGAGAAACGACACAATTCAGATATACAGTCTATTAATATCCTGTTTGAACTGTCACCCTCTAAAGTATAAAAAAAAAATAGAACTTTAACATGTTCAGTCGTACAGACTAAATTGTTTGACATGTTTAATGAAAGAAGGGTAATTTTGCATCAAAGATTCGATACCATAGATTATTTTTAGAGAGGTACTTCAGAGGGCGACTCAACATGACTGTGACAATGTAAATATGATAACCAATAGTTTTAAAAAAAAACATGTTTCATATTAAGTGCGATGAAGCATATAAAAAGAAGCAAAAATAAATAGCATACTGTTAATTGATCCATATTCTAACGAACAAACCCGATTATCTCTAGACAAAGAGAAGAATATATAATATTTGATACATAAAATACAACAATACATCTTTCTACACACATAACATTAGACATAGCCATATTGGTTATATAATTTTGTCATATATTTGTCAAAGAAAATAAAAGGAAACGAATAGGATTTAAACATATTAGGTAAACATAAATCTCTACTGAGTACATGAACCAGTGAATGCTTTTGACATAACCATGTGCGTGACATTTCATTCCCTAGATGAATAATTCGTTAAAACAATTTAAATTTTATTTACATGACAACAAAATTCTGCAAAAAGAGTAGAATTTCTAACAAGAGAAGTGACATAGATGGAAGAAGAAACTCAGAGTTAGAAATGGCCAATTTAGATTTTCAACTTTTTAGTACAGCTATTTCTTCATCTAAATGTTGCATATGCAAGAGAAATTATATCCAGGCTTAGTTTGAGAAAGTATCCGTCTATTAAACATGTGGTTGTATAGAACACACTCCTACACCTAAGGTATGAAAAAGTATGAAAAAAGCGTGCACATATATAATATTCATGTATAAAATGTAAATTATAATTACAGACGAACGAGTCTACGTATAATGTAGTGATTAAAAATAATATTTTGCAATTCAATACTGAGTGACAGTTACTTTAAATATCGGACTGTTAAACAAAACCGGTAATGGACTCGTTACATGTAATTATAATATGTGTTGGTATCCCGATAGACAAGATATAGTACATGATGCATGTGTATTTCCGTCACTTACCGTGGTGATCGTGCGCGTGGTGCGGGCGCCGCGCGCAGTCCGGCGGCGCATGCGCCGGCGGCTCCAGGATGTCGCGGTATTTTGACACCATCAGCACCGAGATGAAGTACACGATAGCCAGAGACAAGAATTGCGCTTGTTTTGTTTCCTCCTGCAAATCAATTTCAAAAAGAGTTAAATTTTAAAATGAAAATAACTTATTTGATTAGTATTTCAGAAGGGCAAGGAGGAGTTTTCAAAGAGGGTTAGCGTTTGGCAAGCGTCTGGTCAAATATAGAAACCATTTAATGGCAATGTCAAACATTATGGTAGGAAGATGATAATTTTATTAGGTACTTCTTAGTAGTAAAAATACGTCTGTATGTGAGATAGTTTAATCTGGCCGTCATTTAAGATAACTATACTTAACTATAGTTGCAAAGGTATGTTAAAATTGTAATACAATTTAGAAATATAGAAGTGTAACTCACCACGTCTCTGTAGATAACAGCTCTGAGTCTGTTGACATCCATATCCTGTAGAAGCCTTTCAGGATCCTTGACCGGACTAGAAGCGTCTGCCAAACTCGCCACCACACTCTGAGAGTTACAATCAAGAGTTTTATGTTAATATTATAATCAAAATAATAAAATTACACATAGTGGCAAACAATGTCAGAAAGTTCTAAGGCGCCAAGACCGTTGCAAAGGTGTTTACAAAATTTGAAGTATAAAAGTATTTAACTTGTAATAGTGCATTGTAAAATTATTAACTATTTAGCTAAAATTTGCAGCATGCAGGGTTTGTAACAATTACCCTTTTCAAAGCTTGTTTTTTTAACACATGCAATTATTTTTTATTATATATTTTGTTCTATTTTGCGCGGTGTGTTGTGTATTATTTTGCATTTATGTGTTACAATAACCTTTTGTGAGCAGTGCAAGGTGTTGGAAGCAATCGTTAGTATCGATTACAGTTTAAAGCACCAGGGTCGAAGAATGGATAAAGGGGTTGTTCAATCGATCAACTAGTTAAACTTCCCATCGATTAAAAAAAAATGAAATGAAATAAAATATGCAAATAGGCAGATTGCAAAAAGGTAATTTAAAGGACCAATTTAAATTTTGTTTACTAGGATATCATGAATGCAAAGTAGTTAAACAGTTAGGGGTATCAATATATTTACATTTGCAGTGGTCTAAATACGATTATAGGTATCGTTAAAAACAAAGATCAAAAATTTGGTGATTCCCTTATAGATTTAAAATTTCTTTTACTAAATTTCCAAAATTACTAGTTTTGCTATTAGTATCATGACATATTTTTGTTACACTGATGATATAGGAAAGAAACGGAAACAGATCTTTGGTCTGCTCACTATTTTATACATCACTTCCTTAGAAATGAAGAGAGGTTCTAAAATTTTAAAAATTGAAATATTTATCTCATCTTTTAAATAAACAAACTAACTACATTGGGAAGGGACCAGCTTTATCGGAACGATTATACTGTTGAATAGTATCAGTGCAAAGGCTCGGTACCAGGGTGACATAGGCGTAAGGAGATGCGTAGTTACCTTAGGATCGGGTTCGTTGTTGGGGCGGGTGGCGGCGCGCGCCGCGGCCAGGCGCTGGCGCTCCTTGCACTCCAGACAATTGCGCACGGCACACGTGCACACCTACACACACACACACGTGTGTACCGCACACACCTACACGCCGCGCACAGCGCTACGACTCGCTAGAGTTCTAGGAAGTAGTAGCAGTTTACCGAACGCACTGTACTCTCCACGTTTATGTGCTACTGGTACTTTGAAATGCTTCGTGCAGTCAAAATATTGTAAATTTATTAAAATAATTGGTATTATAAATTACAAATTGTAGTAAGTAGATCGGCATTCACGTCAAGAGTACGGCATAGGAAAACATATCTATTCTAATGTTATAAGAAGATCTACTAAATATCTAATAAAGAAATACTATTAGCCTACATAGAGACACTAATATTATGGAAAGTGATAAGAAAGTTATAACTTCTATACAGTCTGTATAAAAATGATCAAACATTTACATTAAACACTATTAAATAATTACTAGTTTCTCACAAGAAATCTATTTTATCCGACAGTATAACAAAAACTGATCATCTAATATGTATCTCAACATATTACAAAGAAACATTATCTATTAAGAAAAGTACGTTTTGTGTAAGTGCGAGTCAGCCATGTTGTTTTATTTTGAAGTGAAAATTTCTTTAGACGCGTTGGGCATTTTTTCAGATGGGAAAAACAATTGAGCTCGCGACACTGTTACCGTTACCGACACCTCTGTATATGGGTATATAAGTTTTCACTTCTGTGGGCACTCCCGGAGTGCCTCTGTTTTTTTTAAACCATTAATGCCATAATTACCATTAATACTTCATGTAAAATTTTAAATTTCAAGAGTCGTTATTGGTTTCATATAAGGTCATTTAAAAAATATAATTTATGTAGGTAATATAATACTTTCTGAAGAAAATAGGACAAAACTTGGATTTAAATGTCTTCAAGGAATGAAGCTTTTAATTCGATTAATTTTTATGGCATGTTACGCCAAATTTTCGTCATTTTGAACATTTTTTTTTTAGAAATTATTTTTACTCAAAATTGTTCGCATTCAAATGCAAAGAACATAACCACCTCTAATTTACTGGCAATTCATAAAACGTAGAATACAGCTATTTACGCGCATTAAATTTAATCCACAAACCTCTAAAGCATTCGCACTACAAAAACAACAAGGCTGACTTTCCCTTTACCCCACTTCCTAGTCTCCAACTTACCAGCCTCAAGCACTGCCTGAGGATCCCCCCACTGGACATGTTCTTCTCAGCCTCGAGCTCGGCGAAGTTGAGCGCGCTGGCAAATATGAGCACGTCCGCCATGCTGACGAGCCGCTGCAGGAACGTCACCGCCACTTCCACCGGCATGCCTTGGGTGGGCTCTATCACGTCAAGCTCGTTCTGCGCAATTATAAAATCTTAATTATGGGATACATGTTTTGAACCGATTTCAAAAAGGAGGAGGTTATCGTCATATATAGTGTTGAAAAGGAGTTTATTTCGAAATAGTTCGGAGACAGACAACGGAACTCTTAAAAAAATGACAGCAAATCAACCGTGATTGCTGCTAGGTTTTTAGTGCTCTTTGTTAGGATTGTTTGAAGTCGGTATCGAGGTGAGGGGCTTTGGACTCCGGTAACCTCACCCGCTCAGTAGCTGGGTAGTTTAACACCGTTTTCATGTGAGGCTGTGGTATAAACCCACTCGAGCCTGACGCACATATGCTCTCCCACGGTTAAACTAGTCACGGTCCTAATTATATTAAAAAAAAAAGAATAAGGATTAAAAAGAAAGAAGGAATAAAGAGAAATACAAAAATTTATCAAGCTTGTGCCAGATTGAAATCGATGCTATCTTTTTAAAGCTTAATTGTGTCGGTTTGGGTTTGAACCCTCAACTTCATAATTCCAAGTCAAAGGCTTTAGCCATTCCACTATTTCTAGTTCATGAATGTATACGTACATTTGGCGAAGTAGCGGAGGCGAGCAGTGGCAACAGTCCCCCGCACGCAATGATCAGGTTGTCGGCGAGCTGGCTGATCAGGTGCACGGTGTTTACCACGAATATTGCGTTCTCGCTGCTGTTCACAAAATCGATCACCGATTTCGTTGAGTGACTTCGCCATACCTATAAGTAATCCATTATTATATTATTATTTAGAGCTTTATAAACATACCTATAATACATACTAAATACACAATACATCATGTTTATTTACATACACAAGTGTACTCATTAAAACAACTGAATTAGGGTATAACTTCATTAAATTTTTAGTATAATTGATATGAAGACCACGACATCTCTGGTCAGAAGTGTGACAATAATAAATTATAGTTTTCAAAACTAAAAAAATACGCTTTTGTAACTAGCCGAGCTAAAAAGAAAAATCATTTTATCGTAAAAAAACGTGGGGAGCTAGATCTCAATTGTTGTAAAAATACTTTATTGACAGCTATTGTTCAAGGAAAGTTATTTTATTATAAAATATTTTAAAAAGTACTCCACGGGTTTTTAGGATAAAATGAGGTTTACTTTTTAAATTTATAAAAAATGTTTTCTAAATTTTAATTTTTTTAAACTATAATTTATTGTTTCTTTTTTGGTCATTAATGATGATTGTTTTCTCATTAAGACTACAATTGTAACAAGTAAGTTACAAATGCTTCTGCCCACGCCTCTTACTACGTAGCAAAAGACACTACTACTCAGTTTTAGGTATGGAAAAAGATGTTGATCCTGATCAGGATAATCGGCCAAATTTATCAAATTATTGTATTGTCATCGGTCCTTGATAAGTGTGCGAAGTTTCAAATTAATTCAACATACTGAAGTGGGGCAAAATCACGTTCGAAGATTCCATTACATACATAGATACCAAGCTACTAAAAGCGTGTTAAAGGAAAAGTTATGATTTAAGTCATAACATGTGCTTTTTGTAAGATTTTACGTTTGCACTTACTTGAATATCTGTTTCTAAGCTGAACAGGACGTCCGACAGAAGCCTTTGGTGAATATAGGACCAGCGGAACTCCGGGATACGGAACGGTGGTCGCGTAGGGCCCGGGGAGAACATCGGCCGGGAGCATTTTGATGGGCGCTTCGTTTCTAAAACGTAACGGAATAGTATGAGTAAAAAAATATCATCATTGTTAGCATAACGCCCTCTTTCAATGCCCTTTTAAAATCACCCCAAAAGTAAAAAAAATCATCAAAAAACTATATTTTGAAGCTTGCCTTATATCTTTTAAGTAGTCGCTACTTACCAAAATGATTAGAATCCACTTGTGTACTAGTAGAAGCACTTCTGGGCCTCTTAGGCGACGCTGAAGTGTTCGTCCCTTGCGTGGCGACACCATCTCCTCTATTGCTATCCTGTTTCATCTCACTATCACCAGGCAGACTCACACGTCTTTTATCTCTTTCTTCATGACTCCTTTCCTCTTCACTATCATGGTCCTTATTAGCTAATGGAATGCTCTCACTAATCGTTGATATAGGCGGGTTTTCTGGGGCTTTATCTTCCTCCGCTTCTTCAACGGATTTTTCATCTCTTTGGCTTTCGTTATTCTCAGTCTCCTCTTTAACTTCATCTGTTTTTTCTATATCTAGTTTCTCAGCCTCTTCGGTTCTGGAATTGACTAAAAATTCACCATCTAATGGTAGAACGTTACCCTCGTGGGGGTGGTCCGAAGGTATGACCCTTTGCGGACTCTTATCATCCGTTACAATTTCAGTATTCTGTTCACTTGATGAAATAACTGATGCAATTAACTCATTCACTAGATCAGTGGCTATCGTTTCTGCAGTTCGCTTTTCATCTACTATCTCTTCTATTTCTGGTTCCAAATCTTCACGACCATTAGGCGTATTTCCTTCCGAATGCAACCCTCCTGATATTGCTCCAGAATCAGTATCATCGTCAGTCTTTATTCTGACGGTTTCTAATGCAATACTTAAAACATCATTGACAATGTTAATAGCAACGTGTTTAGGGTCATCATCACCAATTTCGTCTTCGTTTAAAATTTCAGTCTTATCTTGTGTTCGTCGTGGACTCGTTGCTTCGCTAGGAGTTAGATACAATTCCGATGGATCAGAAAGTTCAGACTCACGTTCGACAGCATTCGCCTCAGCGACCCTTTCTGGACTAGCTGTTTCACTCACAGAAATACTTGAGGGAATTCCTTCACTCCGATCTGTAACATCAATTTCTTCTGCCGCGACTATATCTCCGACATCTCTTACTGGAATATAATCGAGGCTGCCCCTTCTCATTGGTTCATCACTTCGTTCAAGTGTACCGACACCCGACTCTGGCTCTGATAATAACCTACTTTCATCAACTATGCTGCTAGTTATTTCTGTTTCCGGTAGGGTATTAATGGGTTCTTCTGGAGTTCGAGATACAGGGCATTCAACATCATCGACGGCATGTTCGACTTCAGTATCCTCACGAGTTTCTGCTGGTGCTGGACTGTGAAGTTTACAAGCATCACTGTCATCTGTTCTTGGAGCGCAGCGGCAATTATCAACATCTCTCAAAGAAAGCCCAGTGCCTATTTCAGTTTGGGCCGCGTGATGTAACCTTCTTTGCGGAGGTTGTTCATGGCGTTCCCAACCAGATATGGTGGAGATAGGACGTTGCTGTCTCTCAGCAGGGTCCGTTATATTGTCAGCGCGGCGCTGTTCGTAATGTTCGTACATTTGAGCAAATTGGAGTTTGAATTCTTCATATGAAACCTACAACACGAAACAAGCATATGTCACAAATAAGGAGTATGCAAAAACTTTTCAGCGAGAATAGTGGTCTGATATATAAATTCCTATTCAGATTCTGCATTGTTTGGCAATATGATGATAAAAGTGTGGTAATTGTAACTATATTTTATTTATTTGGAGTTTAATTTATGATGGTAACGAAGCGAAGCACTTTGGATTGATGTATACCTAGTCGGGTTTCTTGTAACATCACTAAATTTGTAAACAAGTAAGCCTACTAGATGGTAAACAGTTTCTGTAGCCTTAGGACACTAGCCCTTACCTTGGAGTGCACGATGGCAAGCGTGTCGACCCACACGCGCCAACCGCCGTACTCGTGTTTAATCGCGTGGTGTAACAACATTCTGAACAATGAGTACACCATATCGGAAATCTTCTGTTCCTCAGCGTTCTTGGGATGGATGTATGCCATTGCTATTAACCATTCCTACAAAAAGAAAAAACATATTTCATTTTACCCATCTTATTTTATATGTATGTTATAGGGGGGAAACAAGCAGAGGTGTATATACACTTGAGCAACTGAAGAGATACAAGTGCGATTGCTGTGCTGAGGACTCGGCTTCGATTCCCAGGTCGGACCAAATGTTTGTATGATCTGCAAATACTTGCTTCGGAGTTTGGATGTTTTCTATGTATAATATGTATTATTTACAAAAAAAAAGGTATATCAGTATTATCAGTCAATCTAGCTTTCATAGTACAAGCTCTGCTTAGTTCGAAACTGGATGGCGTTGTGTGTTAGATGTCTCCAGTTTTTTTTTTTGGGACTAATCCCACCCACGCGCCCACCACTGTAACTACTGGATACACCAGGATCCAGTGACCCACGAACACACCGAGTTATGACACTCGGGAAGTCCCAGGAAGAAATTAAACTGTCTTGGAACCCGCAACGAAATTAATCAGAAGAAAATTGGAGCAGTTGGAAATATAGTAAATCCACTTCCCTCCTTAGCAGAGCGGGAGACAAAATGAAGTAAAATGGGCATACACCCTTTTAAACAGGGAAGCACCACGGCCACAAATATTACGGGTCCTACGTAAGCTATGTTTGATTTCTATAATATGTATGGCAGAATCGCCTAAACGCACGGAAATTCACCCTAGTTGCCACAAGATCCCCATAGTATACCGCCCCAGATGTCACCTGCAAGCTATTCAGCATTATATTACGTTCATTATACCAAAGACTACATTCCCAGAGGATATGATGAGGATATGAAGTATTCTAAAAAATAAATTATTATAAATATCTAGTAATGGTGGGAGCCGTACCTGCCACACAGACATCTGCAACACTGTCCGTCTGTTCTCCCGGTTGTTGCTACATAACAGCGTCATGTCGGAGAGGAACAATTTCTTCACTTCCAGCAACTGTTCAGTTTGCTTCGATTGTCTAATGAGGGTCGCCACTACCTTTAATATCACTGTTAACAGAAGATTTTTTTTCAAATATATATTGATAAGCAAATTTGCGTGAAGTGCCTATCATAGACTAAAGATTATTAAAGGTACTATTTACGTATAACCGACATAAACAATTCAAAACTATGAATCAGAAATACTAGCAGTATTTTATTAGTAGTAATTATATTATACGTATGGAGTTTAAACACATAAATACACATAGGTATATTTTTTTTGTAAACAGCTTCATTCATTTATTCAATAAAAATTAGAGTTTTTTGAACTTAATTAAACATACTATTATTTGTACTGAGAATTAAATTGGCAGTCGAATGAATAACTTTGTTGGGGAATATCAAACACAAATGGAGGATTTAACAATTAAAAGCGAATGTTGGGCAATGTTGTACATATTTCATGGGAGAACAATCTTGTTTCCTCAGATTTGTAATGCACTCATTACAAATCATAACTAATTGTGCAAAAATTACTGTCATTTTCTGACTCTAAATGGATCCGCTTAATTTTACATTGGGTAAAAGAGTGTAGATTTGTTTTTTTTTTTTCGAAAACTAATTTATTTATTTATGACATACAATACAACTACTTTTACAGGTTTTGTACCTAATACAATAGTTTAGGCATTATAGTGTATTATATAGATTTGTATCTTAAATGGACTAGTTAAAGGTTAAGATGTGTCTGCTTACTAGGGTTCTCGAGCCTGAAGTGTGGCTGCGGCTCGGGGTGGCTGGTGTAGAGGATCTGCTGGCCGACGTGCTCGGTGAGCAGCTCGTAGAGCGCGTTGTAGACCGCCAGCGCCAGCCCCTCGCCGCTGGCGCCCAGCCGCGTCGCCAGCAGCGTGTACAGGTTGTGCGGGGACATCACGTCGTACTTGCGTCTGCGAGATGGGTCACTATGATAATAATATTGAAAAAAATCATTTTGATAATAGAAATGATACCCGGCGTAATGCTACCCCGGCTACCCCACTTATTTAAACTGTAACGATTGAAACAATTATTTAAGACATTCCTGTCGTCTAAAAACTTTTAAACAATACCTATACACGTACATATATAAAATAAAATGCCAAAAAGCCAGAGCTCTGAAGTTTATGACAGACTAATATGTAATACATATTTTATGACATGAATAACTTTTAAACATTTTTTTTATGTGTGCAAACAATTAAAAAGATGGGGGATCAATATTTTAATAATCCTAAGAAAGAAACGAACTAAGAACGAAGAAACTATTTTTCCTTTCCGAATGCATAATATAACGTATAACTTGCATTGGACGTGCAATTAATTAAGTGGTTTTGGGGTTTCGAACCCCATACAGTGGTACACCACTTACATGAACTAATATTTACTTAAACCGACAAAAATACAGGACTCGGATACAGTTTTTTATTCCTACATGACACGAACAAAAATAAAATAAACACAGAATTTATAAATTATGCAATTACTTGTGAGTGCTTCTGCTCAAGAAAAATCCGAGTAGTTTTAAAGCTTGTAGCCTGATTAGTTGACTTTCTGAAGCGAGCAGCTTGAAGATTGTCCTCACTCCACCCTGAAAATACCATAACATTAACATTGTACCAGAATATGGTACTATTCTTAAAAGTTTGACAATGGCGAAATAGTTCATGTCGATCTCAAATACGTGTGTCTCTGAGGAAAGTCATTTGTGTAACTGTGCAGCGGGAATACCTACAGAGTCCACAATTTATTAAAGGAATTATTAATAATTTTGCTTGAAACATAGATCAAGAAATTAAGTAAAAAGAAAAACAGATGCGTTACTAGTTCCACTTCTAGTTTCATCGTTATTCTTGTAATAAATGTTATTAATAAAAAGATACATCGATACAACAAATTCTCATCATCATCAACAGCTTATAACAGTCCACTGCTGGACATAGGCCTCTCCTTAGAAAGGAGGTTTTGGCCTACTTTTCTAGTTGCTTCAACAAATTCTAGTTTGCTTTAATGACAATAACATAAAGAGGTGTCATTACCTTGGCGTCGAAAGCTGGCACCATAGAGCTTGGATGTTCCGACATCAAAGATATTAACATTTGTAGAACATCGTGCAAATTTTCATCCTAAAACATAATAAACAGATATTGAAGAATGGAAGAACAAGAACGACATTCCGAATTCCTTCACGGCTTACCAGGAGAACATACCTCATGCATAGTGGTAAGGTAGTTGAGTATCGACTGTAGTTCATCCTCTTTCACACCGTTACCGATCATTATTAGTTGCTTCAGGAATAGAAGAATGTACGCTCGTATCGTTAGAATATCTTTGTGTGCTGGCCGAGGACCGTCTGAAAGTTTTAGGCCGGATAGTTTAGTTTTTTTATAAGTCAATAGTAAACATCAAGAACGTAACATCACATAAAATTCTATGCACTGGCGAGTAATGTTACGTCAATCAGCAGAGTTAATCAGCAGAGTTGCTGACATAACCAAATAGCAACGTGGTTGTAATTTTCTGAGAGATACAGGTAGTCCAATTAATACCACCCACCCAGTGGGACAACAATATCGACAAACCTGACAGTTGTCTTAAAAAATTGTAATTGATTTTAAGTTAGGCAACTTTCGTACTGATGTTTTGATTTCGAATTCAGTACAGTTATGGTTTCCGATTGAGTTACATAATTGATTTTGGTTTTGGAATTGTTCTCAGAATTTTTGAGTTAATTAGGCGCAGATTAATCGTCACCATGGTATGTTGAAGCACCTTTTTTATAATTCTGGATTACATAGTCCAAGACTGCAATAAAAACCATGAAAAAAGACGCACCATCAACAATAACAACAAATTTAGACCGTAGCTTTTACGTTAGATAAGAGTTGCTCACGAAGGCATTAATCATTACTAGGACGTCTAGACCTTGGTACGATGCAACTACTGTAAAGCCAGACAACCACTACATATCCCTCATCGTAAACTATTTCAGGGGTAATTGGAATTCACACAAACTTCCAATCAACTTACTACTTACATTTTGAAGCTGTGACTACTCACCTAATCCTTTTGGCGTAATCCCACTCTTAGCTCGAGGGTTCACAACCCAGTAGTAAAATTTGAGAGTATGTACGGTCTGAAGTACCGTGCTCACTCGTCTAACACTGCCGTAAATGTGGGCGTCGGCAAGAAAGTCCGTGGCAAGATAGCAGTAAAGCCGAGCCTGTACTGCGGCGGGAGTGTAGATCCACAACGCAGGGTTGAACAGTATGTGGTCCAAAAGCTGCCAAGTGAGAAAGGATTGGCAGAAAGACTGCGATTAGCATAGACCTTAAGCTGTCCGATGGTCGATAGCGATGTACTCTCTTGCTTTTATATATATTTTGTATTGTGTCGAGACCTAGCTGTTAAGGGTAGATTGTCTAAAACTATGTATATTATACATATTGTTCATTCTATAATGATTTTATAATTTTACGATAGTATATACTCGTATATATTTGATTATAGAGGGTGTAAGGGACATCGTAACGAATACTGAAATAGTGTATTCAGTCTATCATTCTGAGTCTTAAATAATTGGAATTTTCTGCCGGAAAATGAAACTTTTTATGCTATCAGCCGTCAAAGGTTAAGGTCATTCCCCTTTGGTATCGCACAAAAGTAATAACTACATGTGTATTCCGTGCAAACACTCTACGCACACTAACACAGGTTGACGGCCGGAGAGGAGGCCCCGCGGGCTTCAGCTGTTTTATTAATTACATTGCAGTTTTTGACAGTATGCGGTATTTATTAATTTGTTTTTGGTGAAATGTTCTATATCATTTGTAACCAAAACAAAAGAAAAAATCCGGCAGAAAATTACAATGCTTTTTGACTCAGAATCATGCTCTGAATACACTATTTCAGTATTTGTTACGATGTCCCTTACACCGTGTATATACATTTATATATATTTATATAAGTGCTGCATTTGTACAAAAGAAGCCGTGTAATATAAGAAGAACGCTAAATCTATACTTAATTTATGAAATAAATATATTTAATATATATTTAAATTAACAATAGGAAGAATAAAATAGGTAGTAGGTACCTAAATAAAATGTTAGTGTCTACAAAACTAATTTGCGAAGCGGTACCAGGATGGTATAAAATTCGTGAAGTACTACTAAACAGACAGGAAAATGTGTTGAGTGAGATAGGGCTCAGATAAAAAGTATACATTTAAATAAAAGTCTTCGAATTCACATCACATAAACGTTTTTAGATAATTCACGCAATGTGTTGTGAATTTGTAGGTCAAAACAAAATCGGTAACATAAAACTAGATATAATATTGGATTTGATATGGTAATATGTATCTTGAACACAGTGGGGAGTGCAGTATATTTGTCAAATTGAAGTGATAAAGCAAGAGGGGCATGCGCTAGCAACCATCGAAATACAATCACAGTTTTGGATAATCAGATCGTGTCGTGCTAATCTCGGTTCCTTCTCGAATGGGAAATTAAAATTATAATATAACACATAAGTATAAAATTAATTATTTACAGTATATCCCGCATAAAAGTAATGAAATGAAAACATTTGGTCGGCCTGTGACCAAGGACAGTGTAGGTACTTTGGTCGAAACGTAAGGCAACTCGAACCTATGTAATAAGTATTGATTGTGTTAATACTCGAACAAATTATATAATGGAAAGCAAATATTTAAAGGTTAAAATGAAAACAATGAATAAGACAATATATTATTATAATTGATAAGTTTAATTTCCATTCGAGAAAAAGAAAAACAAATTTACATAAAAAATGGGACCAGTCACACTTAGAATACGATACAAAACCTGATTGACACCGACTTCCGACACAGACAAGTGATTGATTTTGTTAAATTATAGAAATTGATCAAACGATTTGAAGCCTGTATTTGAAATGCTAATAACTTTTGATTTCGTAGTATTGTTTTAAATATACAACGCGTTATAATTATTGTCTTAGGTTTATAAAGCAACGTAGATTATAATCAAATTAATAACATAATAATTAAAGATAACGTGAACATTAAACCCAGTTTATTCAAGCATATCGACAGGCTGAAGAATACAAGTGTTTAAGACACAGCAATATACAAAGATTCAAGGTGTGTATCTTATCACCTTTTCAATATACAGTTAAGTTTAAACTGAATACATATGTACAACATATGTACATTTTCACATATTCGCCGATACGGTTGTTGAAATTTCCAAGTTTATTGTGAAATCAAATTGTCAAAAACAAAAATCAAAATAAAAGTAAAAGTTACTTCCGGTAATAATTGCGAGATTTTCGGCACAAAAAGATTGGTTTGCTAGTTAAGCCTTCTTTATTAAACACTTAATAAAAGTTAAGAAAACGTCAGATTATAAACGATTGGCGAGGTAAACAAGACTGAAATAAATCACCTTATGAAGCCAATTTTCATACTTATTTATAGGGGTTTTGTACCGCTGTAGCGCGTTTTAAACGACCTGTATTACGGTAATTTCCGAGAAATGAATCTTGATGTTTCAGTACAACGATAAAAACAAAATTTATTGCATTAATTTCGGGGGTAAATTGCAACCGAAACGGTAAATTAGTTCCATTGGATTCTCTAAACTTGCTCGTAATATTGTAACTTGTTAATAACAACAACAAAACTTGGAATCCTTTGAGAAAACTTTGAATAATATTTGGCCGAGCCTTAAGATTTCATACAATCAAACAGTGCGGCAATAAATAATAAAATGTAGAAAAATATATAAAATACCTGTTTTAATAGGAGATCGGAATTAGGAGAACAGCACGTTACAAGGTGTTTCGTGAGATGAAGAAAAGAGGCTAGAGTGTCCGGAGTCAGGTGGTCTCGACTGCATCGTTGGAGCATGTGCGAGATGACCAGGAATCCTCGGCACTGTAGCATATGCTGCTGGACTGTGCTGCAGGATTCGACGAGAGAACATACGAATCCCAAAAGCTTCGAGCTGCAAACATTCCAAACAGAAAATGACTAATACGTAATATACGTACGTACGTGACATGAACGTTATGTAAATTTTTAAGGAAACAAATTGAATACGAAAATTCATTTAAATAAAGTTACCAAATATCTTATGATCCACGTAATTTTTAAACAAATACTAATAAAACGGTAAAAACAATACGTTTGTCTAATTGCTTCAAAAGGTGTAAGAATTCTGTTCGGTCGTTGAGCTTTTACGCTTTTTACACTCAAAAAGCCTGAGAAACCGCGGCAACTTACGGCCACAATCCGTATGTGACAACTTACAAGGGTAATCTCCGAAAAAGTATACTTGTAAGTATAATCCCTGGGACGCTAACATAAGTTCTACGGTAAGCGAGTACAGTTAGAAGTAAGCTGAAATATACTACGTTTGCAGTACAAAGTAAAGTAAATCCACGGATAAACTGACCTTAAATGTAAGCCGAATAATCTTAGTGCAAAAGCCAGCTTCTCGAAATATCTCATTACACAACACAAGAATATACTTTTATGCATAAATTTAATCTGGGAGCACCTTTGATGCGAGTTCGTACAATTTTGGATAGCCTTATTTATCGAGATTCATCCGCGCGTGACACGGGTCGGGGCGGCAACTCTTTGATCTGTAGTCCTGTTATCATACGTACTTTACCTACGTGGATGATACACGTATGTCCAGACTAATGATATACTTTTTCATTCAACTAACAAGTTCTGTTTTTATTAGTAATATCACTAATTTCCATACTGTACTGCAGAAATGAAATAGATTGTACGGAGTGCGAAGTGGTTTAAGCGGTCGCCACGCCGCTTCCTACTGCGTTGAGTGTTGTGGGTTCGATCCTCACATGTTTGAAAAGTTCCCCGCGACAGGATATATATATTCCTAATGCGGGAATTGTGTTTAAAAAAAATCTGTCTTGCCTTAATCGTTCATCAACTTAACTCTGCAGATCAGCAATAAATCGACAGGGTTCACGAAGTATACCTCCTTTTTGCTGAAGGCGAAGGATCGTGTCTATGAATATACTACAAATTGGGCGAGCCATATTTTCCAGCAGTGGTCTGCTATGGGCTAATTGAATAAATATACTATAAATACGAATCCATTGTCTTAATTCGTTAAGTTTAAGAATTATATCAGATAAAGGAATAACATACTTCGGTCCTATCCTCCTTTTCGCCCAACAATATTTTACTTTCTTTTCCTTTTTAATTTAAAACACATTTATTGTTAGGAATTACTATAAAGACATGGCCGACGTAAAAAGCTTATAAATTTTTATATTAATCACTACAATAGTAGTGATATCTACAGAATGTGGCATATTTAGTTATTAAATTATCTGGTTTTTAAACGACTCGCTCCCAAAATATTAGGTAGTAGTCTATCCTTAAAATTAATGTCACGAACGATAAATTTAATAACGGTCCTTCGCAGCCCTATGCTTTTATAAATTGTCACCACAGAATGGCGGTCATAAATCTAGCCGCTTAAGTTGAGCAGATACCAGGCAATTAGGAGTTGGCAGGAGTTAGTTTAACTCGTAGAAGAGAATATAGCTTGGCCGATATGAAGTTTCGAGAGCCGCCGATCGACAGTGAAAGTGCATTTAGGGAACTAGTACTTACGACCAAAGCTACTGGGATAACAGGAATATTAATGAGTAGAGCTTTAGGTTTCGCAAAGGCCCGCTAAGTTTGGGGAACCCGGGCCAACTTTATTTCAAACCTAAGTAATGTGGGTATTAAACCCTAATTATGGACCAACCAGAATCTCATTAAGCTTACTTAAAGATCGCTTAAGATTCCGTTTGATAGAACTTTGTTTAGTGGTTTTTTGTGACATATTGCTTATAACCTTTAAATCTTAAGCTTCACTGCGTTTCATCCCGACACGAGAATCGAACCCAGTTCCTCAAAAAAAAACTGCACACGCTGATCGGTTAGTCATTGAAGATAAAATAATGTATAAAACATGAAAATTAAAACGTACCATAACATAGGATCTCTTTTAGAATCTGTTGCAGGTGCATCGTGTTGAAGATCCAACTGTGCGAACAACGGGAACAGAACCTGCACTCCACCGATTGAGTTCAAGGCGCTGTGTATTGAATGTGTCACCACCGCTTTTACCTCCTGTAAAAAGGTCTTAATTTATAACTGTATAAATACACACGGCTGACGAATTACAAACTAGGGAGAACTTGTACTATGGTAATCAGACTGCTGATAAACATATTTATGTATCTAAATACATTCACATCCATATCTAAAAGAAGAAAGAAGAAGAAATTGACAGACTGATTCACTGACTATTCGATCAATGCACAGCTGCAGCTGCAACCGCTTGGTCTTGGAAGCATGAAATTTTGCACAATTTCTTCTTTCTTATGTGACGTAGGTATGCTTTATCATCATCATGTGACATAGGCCTCTCCTTAGAAAGGAGGTTTTGGCCTACAACCACGCTGGCCAGACGGGTTGGTATAGGGTTTGTGTCAAGTTTTCCTTCTTTTTGCAGTACTGGTATCCTGCGTTGTTTTGCGCCCTTAGTCGACTCTTATGACACCCACGGGATGAACATTCCGTATTCTTAATCCGTCACTACACGGACACATAGGTATGCTTAAGAGCTTAGAAATGGGGGTTGGTAGTAGCGTATCCTCTACGACCACCGACCTGATGTGCACCAGCTCAAAAGCCGCCAATTAGCTACATGGTCGATACACTTAATAGTGTACTTATCACAATCCATCACATTTCAAACATCTTCGAGGCAGCGCAAACTTCCTAAGCTATAAAAGCAATTTTAACTTTTACGAAGTGCCTTTGTGCGAAGTTGCACTTCTGTAAAACAATGTAATTATCGTACACAACTAGAATACTGTCTACTTTAGTATAAACTTTAAATGCATATCTAGAAACAATCGTCGAACCCGTCGACCTTTTTAAAAAAGATATCGGGTAAAATCCCATTCGGGTCTAAAAAAGGGTCAACGAAAAACATTTCAAGTTTACCCTATCAATATAACATTGACGGAACTTGGCTAGAAAGCCTAATGAGTTAAATAAGAAACTAATGGAAGAACATAGGAAGGTTTGAAGACAACGATCGCTCAATCAGCGACAAACTGAACAACTTAAGTAATTTGGAACTTAAGTTTTGTCTCTTGTCTCGTCAACCCCTTGACATACTTATGCGAGTATGATAAATGATTGTTAAGGGAATAAGAAAGAACTCACTCTGACGAAATCAAGTATAAATAATGACGTGCAGTCTTTTTGTACCCAACCATAGTCGAAGTAACATATACTTTTATATTGTTTGTAACCTGCCGTTTTTCTTAAAAAAAATCTTTCTAATGAAATACTAACGTATTTATTGAGCCTTGAGACGAATTAACACAGACGGCGGAGTGTTTAATTTTATTTAAACAAGTTTATCTTGTACACAAACGAATGTCTTAGTACTTAAATTTGTATTAGTGTACCTGTGCCTTTTGTAAATCAAATTAACCATACTAATCAGTCACTGACAGTTTTAATTGTTTCTTTGTGTTTTTTATTGTCTTGAAAAAAAAACAAGCTGTATTTTAATGTATATCTCTAATGATCTCTCAGTCGCAGTCAATGCTAACAAGGGCTGGTACTAGACCGGTACTTAATAAATGTAACTTTAAGTACATCGGATATACAGGTCTGTTAATAGGCTCTTTTGGGTCAAGCTCTTTTACGAACTATATAGTAGATATATTTTGAGTATTTATTCGAAGTTCTTACTATGATTCTACACCTACAGTCCTTTTTAGGGTTTTCGAGTAAAATGGTATAAAATAATTTAACAAGATGAGTTGAGTATAAAATACAAATTTTAAAAAATCTTGAGAGATTAGGGAGAAAGCGATGGATTTTAGCTAAGTCTCACAACATCTCACCAAAGTGAAGGAAGGAAGTTTTGAAAATCTCTAAAATCGCTTTACATAATTAATTTACGCCCTCCTCGGGCAATTTGGTGAACTTCCATTTTTGGGGCCCCAAGTTGTGTGTATTTAAACATACATAATACTCAACACCAGGTAGTGTTCACTGTTCTTCGCAGCCGTTGATCCGCGTTGATCCCCAATAAACTGTCAAGGAAGTACAGCTTCTTCTAGAAACTTCTTCAAAAGATTACAAACCTGCAGCATCAACGCGTGTGGTGTGTGCACGAAGTATGAGACGTTGCCTTTGGGCGCAGACTGCAAACAGAGCTGACCGTCCGTCGCCACCGGATTGTACATGAACACTATGGCTGACGATAGCTTTCCATCGTACAACACCTGGTAAACATTAAGTACATTGGAAAAACATATAATTTAATAGTAATTTGTTCATTTATTATACATGGCGAATAAACGTCACGACCAAAAACTCAAAACTGAATTCTGTCTTAAAACAAATAATAGTGACTGATTTAGATTTTATGTTTAACGTCGACTTATAATTAAGTTATATTTGAGTATTTGGACGTAAGTTACTGAAGGACTCAGACAATAATATTAAGAAATGTTCAATTTTGCATATAGTTACGAATTTTAAGGTAATATGTATTCTGAATAAAAGTGGCTTTTACTTACGTGTACGAACCAATTGAGGGACATTTGTGGACCTTCCACATCGGTTTCATTGACGCGGAAGGTCACAAAATAAATTACTTACTTGCAATTAATTGAACACTTATTAATTTATTTACGTTATTAAAAAAAACTATACATATAATAGACTCACATACAAACATTTAGTACCCACATATAAGCATGCATAGCTTACGAGACCAGCAATACAGACAGCTCGATGCTACCAAATACCAGGCTAACATAAACAACATGAAAGTAAATACAAACACCACATTAAAAACAAATGCAACCATTGTATGAGCATTACCACTGCGCGTAGACATATAGTAGTTTTAATAATATAATTGCAAACACAACAAGGTCACGGTACAATTATAATACAGTAGTGTAACTCGGCCGCATGATAGAAATAAATGCCTACAGCCGCGCGGTACGTAAACATACGTTAGGGCTGCCCGTCTCCAGCATTTTAATTATATTTGCCTACTTTATGTTTCTATTTAGATTTGTGATTGTAAATATCCTTTTTATATAAGTAAATGAAATGCTTTGTATATTGGATAGGAAGTGTTCAGTAAAAATGCGTGTTGTTTTTTGATTGGTAGATTTAATTAAAAAAACATGTTTTTGTTTAAAAAACAAATCGGGCTTATAAATTTGCGACCGAAAAATATTTGCGCCTCAATATTTCCTCCATTTTTTCTATATATATTCTACAAAACCATCGTTGGGTACAATCAAAAAAGTTCGCGAATTAATCTTACTGTAGTCCCGGTACCGTATCATGATTCATTCAGAACTGCATATAACTACCTATTTCACTCGTCTCAATAACTTTCCGTTACTCTATTCGCTTTATTTATTAATCCAAACACCTTTTTTTCGTGAGATAAAAGGAAATACTTATCCATTAAAACGACACACATTATGTACCTACCTACTAGTAAGTAAAATTATTTTATAGTCTTACCTTTCAGAGTTTCCAGGTAATTTAAAAAAACTTATGTCTGGATGCGTTATTGACGAATTCATACAACCAAAAACAGCACAATATTTCCTACTCGTCATATTAACTGTTTTTTAGAGAAAAAATCGGTTATTGTTAAAAAAACAACACACAGTCCGTTCGACACTGCGGTACAGCCGTGACTGTCTGCGCCCCGAGCGCACCCCGAGATCGAGGCGCGTAGGTATAGCTCGCGTTTCGTCGGTTTGTATGAAGTTGGAGTACTGTATTATAATAGTACCGTGACAAGGTCCTAACTAGTCATGATATAGTCCCAGAAAATCCAAAAATATGAACAACTAAAGTTATGTTACCGTTAGACCACTCCCATGTACCAGGCAGACATGTATTTTATTCCTAATAATGCACATAGAATACAATTAAGATCATTGTTGAGGGTTATGTGCAATAATTAACCAAAGTCAAATGTCAAATATGAAAAACACAGAAAAAAACTTTTGTTTATTTCTAACGCTTATTTCTAAATCATTGTCATGAAACTTTTAATTTGTTCTAATTCTAGTGTAATTTAGTCTAGCTCGTGTGGCCAGCGATACAGAGCAAGTCGTCAAAGTACAAAAAAGAAAAGGACATCTTCAATCAAATTTAAGACAAGTGCAGCTAAGTGTAAAAGCTAGTACCTCTAAAACGTTACCATTATCCCTTTTTACCGTCAAAAGGGTCTTATTAGTGACAATGGAAGAGCCAAGTAACGAATTCGTGAACTAGAATAGCAAAAGTTTAAATTTACGTAGACTTATGTGAGTCGTAATCATAATTGTCTAGTCGCCTATTGTCTAATGGTGTCACGAACAAAGTCCCCAAAAGAAAAACCAAATTATTGGGATCGGCAAGGAGTTGAGCTTTACTAAAACATAATCATTTTCATCTTTAACCTCATAAAAAATTACATTTTGGGGGAACGATAAACGTAAACAATAATTTCTTGTCCGTTATGATAATAGGCCTTACAACGATTGGATAAAGTAATGTGATCCATTTAATACGATAAACATTAGCTTTATAGGTTAGCTTACAGCACCGTATGAAGGAGCTCTGGTAATTCGCGCTTTATTTTCTTTTCTTTCTTTCTTTTCTGATTCTCTTTATTGAGTTACGAATACGTTATACTGTAATGGTTATTTTTCTTACCACATTCTGCGTAATGGAATGAATAACATTATAGAAAACAAGAAAAACCTTCTTAAAAAAGTTGAACCGACTTCAAACAATACCTAGCAGCAATCACGGTTGTTTTGCTGTCATTTATTTGGGGAGTTCCGTTGTCTATCTCCGAAACTCATCATCAGATCTATACGAAATTTAAATAGGACCATTTCGGAATTAACCCCTATCGAACAAAAAATAATTTTGACAAATTCGTCCATATATGATAGAGTTATGCCCTAACATACATAAAAAAATTATATAATATATACATCCGAATTGATAACCTCCTACTTTTTGAAGTCGATTAAAAATATCTTTATAGTTTACTGATAGTGTTTTTAAACATTGTATATAAAAGAAAATAAATAATAGGTTCGCTAGGAAGAAGTTATACCAAGCCCTTACAGGAAACTGGTTTTAAACAGTTCTTAATTGCTTTTCACCGAGTAAGTAACGATACCGGAGCTCCAAATCCCCCTTTCACCTAATTCTGTGTACCTGGGTGTTGATGGCAACGTGCTTGTGATACGCATTGGGACGCTGGGGTTGTAAGTGTCCACAAGTGTAGTCACGTACCATATGGGCTTTGATTCTGCTATTTTAATATTGTATCAGTAGACTGTCGATGGAAAGTCGTCGGCATGGTTTTGCACTTTCGTATTCTAATAACCTATTTATGTTGTAAGCACCTACTAAGATGGGATTTTTGGTAATTTCACCCCTAAGTAGGTAAAATAAAGAATGAACGGAACGAAGACAACGATAAGGAAATAACAAAATCATGACGCTAGTGAAGGCTCAGGCAATAGCCAGTATATGTATATTTGAAATATACTCTCATCTTAGACAGCTCACTTATTATGTAAATATAATTACTTAAATATAATAAGAAAATAGCCTTGACAGCAAGAACGTTAAGTTAACTTTAAGTACTTTCGTTAAATATTTGTTTAAAGGTAGGCATCCAATTATAGAATATACTGGATTAATAGAAGCTTACCTGGGCTTCAATTCTGATATTTTAATATCATATTAATATACTGTCGATGGAATGTCGTCGGAATAGTATTTGCACTTTTCGTATTCTACTAACTATGTGAGATCAATGTCCTGAATGCCTGATGACTTGTTACTGAACTGCCACTGATACATGTCGTCGATGTCTTTGTAAATTTTCCAGACATGGAAATGTAATTGATAAGCCATTGTCACTAAATCGGCAGTCTATGGACACAGTGAACTTATGTGAGTAGGATACCGAAATTTTGACCGATGTCAATGGAATCTCTATGGCATCTTAATAGCGTGTCAATAGAATGACAGTAGCTTTTACATTAATATAATAATAAGAATTGAGGCAATGGTGAACCGTTTACTCGGTTGTCCCCCCGTACCATAAAAAAGGGAACAAAGAAGAGAGACTGCCAGTAACTAAAAGTTTGGACATTACGGGCATACTGAAAGTTTTTGGATCTGGCCAGTTACAATAAAATAATGAAAAAACAGTTATGGTATTCGAAAATGGAACGTTTTAGGAACATGTTACTTTTTAAAATCCTCCTCATAAAGTGTAGCATGTTATGTTTATAGAATACGTATAATAAAAATAATAATCATACAGACGAACAATCGCAGTGAATTCAATGATCATTAAAACGCACAATTCAGCATTTCAAGATACCAAGGTAACGTATAGATAAATAAGTCACTCACTAAACTCGGTCGTATTAAATGAGAGAAACTTCGACCTCTGGTGTATTGCCACGAACGTTAACCGCACGAGGGCATGTCCTCGACGAGGGCCGACCGGTCATGCGACCACTGAAAGTCATTCAAAGAGTGACCCCACTACTGGACGGTCGTATGACATGATACGACAGCATTTAAACAAGTTTAATTAATATGAGGACTACGGTTTTTGGGAAATTAGGTCCTTTAGGTGGTGTTTTAGAATATTGACATAAGCGGTTTTCTTTTGTAAATGATAACTATTAAAACAATGAGAGATGTTGCTATTTCAATGTTGACCATTTGTTGTGTCTGGGTGTAATTTATCTATAATACAAGCTGACCCGGAAAACGTTGTTTTGTCATATACATTATTTCTAGGAAATATTAAAAAAAAGGGGTGGGTCGGTCACCCTTATCATTTAGGGGTATGAAAAATAGATGTTGGCCGATTCTCAGACCTACCCGATGTGCACACAAAATTTCATAAAAATCGGTCGAGCCGTTTCGGAGGAGTATGGTAACTAACATTGTGACACGAGAATGTTACTTATAAGACATATGTATTTAGAAATATTTAAGTATGTTTATCAGCAGTCAGCAGCATATTATCATATTACAGGGTGTGCCTAGTTTGGGAACGGACGGCCGTGTGTAAAATGTGTGAGGTTATTATCATTATTATTAATTAAAATGTACTTAAGTATAGCCACTTATGTACTTTTCTTTGTGTTTTCTATTTTAAAATGAATGATACGAGTATGTTTCACAGTTTAAGTTGACCCCTTTCAAAGCCAAA